ACAGAATCTGCTAATCCACAATAAAGACATTTTCATGACTGATGCTTCAAACACTCAAGTCGACTCAGTGCTGAGTGTCCTTTTCAAGGCCGAGTCTGCTAACCTTTGAGCCACTTGTCAGCTGAGTTTAGCATAGCATCGCGCTGCGTCCTGTAGAACTCAATCACCCTGCAAGGGCATAAAAAACCGCAGTGATTGTCATGTTATTAACTTTGTGCAGCATAACAGGATTTGACTGTGTCCCGGACGGGTCGGACCGGTAATGCGGGAGAAGATGGTACCTGTCTATGTGCTGGAGGAAGCCATCTTGTCCCCAGCTGTGCAGCAACTGAGACACCATGAGCTGAGAACGGAGGAAAAACATCTGGCTCAAACGATGCGATCGCTGCAATATGAACCTTTAGATCATTTGTCCTATTCCAAGACTGTAATTAGGAACAACATAATGATGCAATCATACTGCGAGCCTTTCTTACAGGCTTGTTTCAGCCTGTTTGTGTTTCCAGCCGATTTCTACATGAGTTTGAGGAGAGCAGGGCCACTTATGGGAACAAGAAACAACTTCAACATGCAACTTTCTTAATTATTGCTTGGAAATTTTATTTAATTTTAATTGTTACTGTCTGTGTTTAACTGTGTAATTTTTTTAGAGGCCAAACCAGGCCAGTATTTTTTCAGTGGGGTTCATCTAAAGGAGAAAAGACGAAAGGAATAAGATAAATTATATGAATATTTTTTACTTCACCTATTTCATAAATGTGTATGTATATATCTATAAATAAATACATTTATAATACAATGCCTTACAGTGTATGCCTTTCTATGATCTTAAAATGTTTCTCCGGAGGGGCCAGTGAGGTAGCCAACATTTTTTACGAAGGGACCGTGGCACTGGTTGGCCCCCACTTAGGAGCGCCAGTGGTTGTTGAATGTCTTAACCGGGTCCCCCTTAAAAAAAGAGGTTTTTAATCTTCCTGGTAACAAAAAATGTTTTAAAAAGTTTGAGATTAATGTGCTCTAAAATATATTTCAATTCAGTGTGAAGAAGTTAACCATCCACCTTTTTTATTTTGCTCTTTGAGGTTGAGAAAACTGTTGCAATGTTGATGTTGACAATAAATCAGACCCTCCTCTCTTTGTAGATTGATTTCAGAAGTGTTGTATTTAAAAAAATAAAAAAACATGAAAATGTAAAGCTTCCCTCACTTGTGTGAAGGTGCTGGTGTGCATGGTGGAGGCCTGGATGTGCAGCACGATCCGGTCGACCAACGGCTTGGGACCCGTGACGAAACCAATCCTCAGGCTGGAAGCAAACAAAAAACGAACAGAGCAAAGCAATGAAACGCAGCAACATGACGCAGATGTGGAGCTCTGCTTGTGCCTTGTAGTGAAAGATTAACTCTGTTAAATCCAACAAGCTTCTCAACCTGAATTCACTTGGCTTGCACAAGTTGTGTTTCGCCTGGGAGATTTCCAAAAACTGAGGGTAAATGAATAGTGAAGACACACAGTGTTCCCGACACAAAGAGATTCAGAACATTTATAAAATTCTGAAACTGATAAGAAAGTCCTTGAACAGTGAAACAAAACAATGACAAAAATGGCTTCCTGTGTGCTTCAAGGTTATTTCACTGTTTTGTGGCACATGGACTAATTTAGATCATCTCTTTTTTGAAAATTATATAATGCCTGAGCTTGTTAAATGACCAATGGCGTTTTACTAAGCTCTGTGTGAGCTTTAGTTTTTAAATTCATAAAAAATAATGGGATTTAGGGCTTTGTTTGACATTTTAGACCCACACGTTCAATTAAAACGTCTAGAAACCAAACAGACATAAAAATGGCTTTTTATTAATTTCTGAACATGCATTCTTCAATAGACTAGAAACACAGCACTAATGTATGAAATGCTATATAATCGTGTGATTTTGCATATTAAAAATAAAGGATATTAAAAGAATATTACTAAATGTGACAATCAGTGCAGGGACTGAGCGTTATTAGAGCTTTGTACTTTGAAAAAATGGAAGACGTACAGAAAAGTTTAGAAAATCAAACACTTTTCAGACTATGTAGGAACTTTTCCTCCTAAAAATGAAAACAGTCTTGCAGGTGAGGTCCAGGCTTTGTTGAGACCCATCAGTCAAATCGCAAAACAACAAACCCGAAGAGACGCAACAAAAAATCAGATGCTCACCCTGACGACAGAATCTTAGAGAAGGAGTCGGTCCGGATGATCCTCCCGTCCACATCCATGGACAGGAAGGTGGGAGCCCACGGCTGCCGCAGGGAGACACACAAGGCGAGTCAGCTTCATTCAGGGATGTGCGACTCATTTTCAGCCAAAATAAAAACACACGCGCCCACAAACAAGCTAACCTTTTCAAACTGAAGGAAGTAGTATGGGTCGTCCTCGACGATGAGCATGTCATAGAGCTGGGCCAGCTGTCACAAAACAGCAACAGACGCGTCACTGACTGCTTCCATAAATCTGAGACAAAGATCGAGATGACCGCCGACACACACCGGAGTCTTTGTGTCTGCGGACGAACCTTGTAGACGTCCCTCTTCCTCTCCGCTGTCATGGAGGCGCCGGTGGGGTTCCCTCCGTTTGGGATGGTGTAGAGGATTCTGGGCACCGTGCTGCCGGGCTCGTGCACCTCTGATGGGTCCCAGCGAGACAGGACCTCCTGCAGGGCTTCGGGGATCATGCCGTGTTGATCGCTGGGAACGTTGATGATGTTGCAGCCAAGAGGCTGAAGCTACGGAGACAAAGGTCATAAGGTTGGAGTTTTGACAAGAAAAACAGGCATAAAGTGCAAACTGCCAGGATTTCAACAATATTACTTGTTAATTTTGTTTGTTTTTAAGAATTTTTTATTTATTTTTTGTGGCTCTAGCGGCCTTTATTGATAGTAGGTTGTGAGAGGGGAGGAAAGATATGCAGCAAAGGTCAAAGGGCCGGGACTCAAATCCGTGACGGCCGTCAAAAACTGAGGCCTCCATAGACGGGTCATGCGCTTTACCACTGCGCCACAAGGACAGCATCTCTTCAACAACTGTTGTCAAATTGAAATTGAAATGACTGCGCTCATTTTAATTTATCACGTGATCAATCGATTTATCGCTTAATGTGACAGGCTTAGGACTCACCGCTGCAAGCGTCCCAGAATATGTGGGTGCATCCAGGAGAACATTGTCTCCAGGGTTAACCAGCATCTCGAATATCTAAAAAAAAGAAAAAGAAAAAAAGAAAAAAGAAACACAAATAAGTCAAACATCAGATCAAAACACATTATAATGTTTGACTTGGATGCTTTGTGCTGCCAAAACAACAGAATTTCAAATATCGTCAGAGATTATAAACATGTCACGCACACCTAAAGACAAGCAAGGAAGCAGGAGACGAAGCATAAACCTCGACGTCCCCAAAATATCTCATGTCAAAACTTTTTCACAATCAAATTCCCAGAGTTCTCAATTCGCAGGATGGATAGATGGAACATTTAGAACACTGAATGCAGGAAAAATGCTGGAAATACAACAAAGATGTTGGGAAGACCATAGACATCTAATTCCCATCCTGACTGTGGGATGTGACATTACCTTACAGAGTCCCTCCTGGCTCCCTGTGGTGACACACATGTCCATCTGCCCCTTCTCCTGGCTGTAGCCGATGGTCGGCGGGTTGTGCAGGTCCTTCTGCAGGTTCTTCATCCATGTCAGCAGCTCTGGGATTCTAACACAGGTGGAAACGTAACATTAGTCATGTGTCTGTGCCGCTCAACAGAACGACTTGGGGAGACTGGAGCTCAGTGAAACACCGTGCACGAGTGTGAAAATGTGAGGCGGGAAGAGTGCGGTTCACCCGTTGGAGGCGGAGTACTGCAGGGCCCTCTTCATGGCGGCCTCGTCAAAGGTGACCGTCCGGCCGTTTTTGACCTGGATGGACGCCGACTGGAAGGGGAAGGTGTTCGGGTTTGGCGCGCCGCCGGCCAGAGAGATGAGGGATGGAGGCGACCGCTGCTGCAGCTCGGCTTCGTGGGGGAGGCAAACAGAAAAGACACTGAAGCGTCAAGACCTCGACACTGAAGCTGTGATTGGATGCACGTAATCGTGGAATGAACGAGTCGCCTTTGACCCGATCAAACAGCAGCAAAGTCAGGTTTTAGTGCATTAAAGCCTCCTCCAACGTGGATCCGTCCCTGCGGGAGGAGCTGGTGTTTGATCAGGTGGCTGTGATGGAGAAGAAACTCACTCAGCAGCCTGATCGGGGAGGGTCTCCTGGCTCCACTGACTGCTGTCAGAAAGCGAGCGTAATTCATGATTCCTGTGAAATTACAAAAAAAGAAAATAAAGTAAAACACTGCAGATGAGATATTGAACTCCAGGTTCCAGAATAAAAGCAGAGAACAGTCTGATCTGTGTTCGGGAGTTGGTGTGTATTTTGCATTCTCAGTAGCACTTAAGAACAGGGAGAAGAACTATATTTAACATGCTGTTTCCAGCAGGCTTTCAACTCTGCACACTTAGAAAACCAGCTCGCACTGAAGGAGCGTATCAAGGCAATAAATCGTGCCGGGTTAAAAACAAGAACCTTGGCTACACATCGGTTTACCAGAAATACCGAAACAGTCGACGTTGTTATTGCGGCCACGCTCATCTATACATAACTGACCTTAGAGTTGCGTCCCGGTGGATTCTGGTCAATGTATTTCTTCAACGTGCAAGACCTGCAGCGGTCGGCGGCTGTGTACCTGGGCTACATTATCCGAGCTGGAAAACAAACACTGACGACGCACTTTTGAGCCTCACTCCAAAAAACTACAACCTGTTGTGTAAAGATGGCTGTTTATCCTCCTCACCTGGTCGGAAGCACTATTGTGCTTCAGGCGTCGCGTCTGCCTGTTTTTCTCGTTCCGTCCATTAGGGGGCAGCAGCGTACCGCTTCTTCATCGACAGGAAACGGAAATGACCCAGAAATACGTCCGTGTTGATAGCTTAGCTCATTTTAGCATAACGTTGCTAATCTGCTGCAGTAGACGTTGAAAACATACATTTTTAGTGCAGAACAGCTCCGTTAAAATACCCCCTCCCCCGGAAATAGAGGGAAACGGTTTCCTTTAACTCGAGCGGCTGATTCGCGTTGATTTGCGTGTCGTTTCAGTGCCTGATAACAGTCCAAAACACAACAAATGTGGTGCCGAACAGCCGCTGGCGTCAGTTGGGCCTAGCAATGGTTCTGTCGCGGTAAGGAACCGACCGCTCTCAAAGAGCTCGATAGAGTTTTAGGTACAACAGTGAAAGCTGCGTTGACATGTAGAGCTGCAGACGTTGCTTCCCGTAGGTCCAATGGGGAAAAGGAAAGACATGATTCACCCCAGGTTTCTTGGTAAGTTGCGGTTATTTATCCACTCAAAACTCAACTCAGTCATATTTTGATGCATTGCAGTTGGTCCAGTGTGGAGCTTGATGGTGTCTGTCTCACCACACAGTAGAGCATAACTGAAAACAAACAGCAGTTTTGTTCCATTTATTTGTCAACATGACAAGTTTATTTGAAATCCAAAATAATGGGAATCTAAAATCAGAGGCTTGAAAAGTGTCCGTTTTCTGACACCGCCGTCCAATCCTCAACTTGTACAGGAGTGACGTCACTGATACGTATGGTAGGAGGGACTGTTTTCAACCGGGCGTGCAATAAAAAAGTTTCTGTTGTCCATGTTGTCCTTATAACGGTAAGGGCATAATAATGCAAGAAAAACTGGAATACATGTAAAATATTGAACAAAACATCAAACAAAATGAAGACTTTTCTTGTCAAGTTTTGATGAATGAATTTACAGTTTATTGCGACAGGCGATTCAGTAATATTCTAAAGGTTTCAACAATTTTTTTTGTTTTGTTTTGGTCTCTGTTTGTTTCCTGTTCCCTGCAGGCGAAGGCAGCAGCTCCGGCCTGCACAGCATCCACAAGCGGAAGCACAAAAAGCACAAGAAGCACAAGAAGAAGCACCACAGCTTTGTCGAGGCCCCGGACCCCCAGCCCGTCCCCATCCCGGTCCCCGTCCCTCGGCCACCGTCTCAGTTCAGACTGAAGATCAAACTGGGGGGCCAGACTCTGGGCACCAAGAGGTTGGCTGGCTCCACGTTCCTACTGTTAACATCTCTTGTTTATTTATCTGTATACATGATCACTTACTGGGATTGCGTCCCGTTCCAGTGTTCCCACCTTCACCGTCCATCCTGGCGTGGCTCGTCCCCCCTCACCGTTGATGATCCTCGATAACGACGAAGACGATGACGACGATGAGCCCTCCGTACCTTTGGAGCAGTATAGGGCTTGGTTGGGTAGGCTACTTTAAATGCCTAATGCATAAACTAATGGGCCAAAGTCCATTTTGCTCTTTTGAGGGAGAAACCATTAGCTGAGGAAATAAACAAATTTTACATCTCAGAAAGGTTGCGATAATCAGTTTATAGGTATTTCCTTGGTTTATACTGTCAGTGACATCAATCCAAGTCAAACTGCCATAATAAGTGGCCTTACAATCAATAAAAATGATCATCTCATTCCTGATCCACTGACCTGTTGCCTGAGGGAAGTAGCTCGCAAACACGCTGATGTCATCCAAGACAGTTAGGTAGTAATGATGGCTGCCTTCTCTCTCTGAATCTTTTTCGTTGGATGTCAGATGAAGACAGTAACATGGCTGCGTCCCCTCTGCCAGACATGGACTCCGACTCCATGCTGGGCAGGCCCGTGGACGAGGAGGAGCGGTGGCTGGATGCTCTGGAGAAAGGCGAGCTCGACGACAACGGAGAGCTGAAGAAAGAGGTCGACGAGTCCCTGCTCACCGCCAGGCAGGTGAGATGGAGAGCAGGGACGGTGGAAAACGAAACGTGTCGATATTTATGTTTGTTTATATATGTATTTTATTTTACAGCTGGTGCCATTAAGGTTTGGATGAAAGTGGGTGGAAGAAATTACAACTTTCCTTTGAACATTTTCACTTTAAATTGCGATAAGAGTTTATTTGTGTGGCACATTTCAGCAACTAGACAGTTCTAAGTGCTTTACACCATAAAAACATTACAGTAAATAATCATAAAAAAATTGCATTTTCAACAATATGCTCTGACAGATAATCTAATTACTTGTTATAACTTGTAGAACGTCAGTGTTAAATATGAAGGGTCCAAGGATTGAGCCTTCTGGTACCCCATGTGTATAGTTTGTGTTTTTAACATAAAAAGGTTGCACGATTCTGGATATTTTTGTAAATCACCATAAACCCATCCTGATTCATAAAACCAGCCTTTTCTTTATGAGCCGTTTCTTGGTGTTCCTCTTCAGAAAGCCCTCCTGCACAAGCAGCAGAGCCAGCCTCTGCTGGAGCTGCCCATGGGTTACAAGGAGAAGGAGATGACGGCCGAGATGATGCAGAAACGGGAGGAGAGAGCCCGGAAGAGGCGTCTGCAGGCGGCCAAGAAGGCCGAGGAGAACAAGAACCAGACGATCGAGAGACTGACAAAAACCAGCAAGGCCAAGATCAAAAGCCTCAAAGAGAGGAAGTCCAAGCAGAACCAGTGTCCCATGGTCCGCTACAGCGACTCGGCACAGGGAATCGCCATCTCCTTCCCCGCGGGCGTTCCCACGCCGGTGCCGGCTCCTCCCCCGCCTCCGCCGCTGGTTCCGGTGAACTGTGGTGTGACTGGGTGCACCAACTTCAAAAAGTACTCTTGTTCCAAGACCGGGGTTCCTCTCTGCAGCCTGGAGTGTTACAGGAAGAACCTGCGGCTGGCGCAGAGCGCGGCTTGAACCATTATGTTTGTTCTTCACATCGGACACCCTGATGTGAATGCTATATTTTTGAACTTGATGTCTTTTTGAGAAATGAATTCACTTTCAGTGCGGCGTGACTTCTCAAAATGGTCTTTTTGTCTCTGTTACTGCATTTGTTTTTGTTTTTTTAAACCATCGTACTTCAGTGCTGCAAATATTTGTACCAAAATGTAACCAAATATTTATGATTTCTATCATCATGACTACAAAGAGGAGGGTTTTTTTTCCAGGTTCTGCCAAATGTAGACGACATTTTGGTTATTGTTAAACATATTTTACATTCTGAATTATGTTTCAAAACTCAACGGAATCAAGTAAATTTATCTTGAAGCAATCAAAGGTTGTGGCATTTTATTGTCAAATAGTGTTTTATTATGTAACAATTTCCCATACAAAACTGTACAAAAATTTAAATTAACAACACATGTTTACCGCTTTGTATACAAAAAAGCTAGCTTTACTGGATGGAGATTCATGCAGCAGCGTTTTTCTTTTTCACTGGTTTAGGGTTGTAAAGTTCACAGCACAAAACCGACAGGTCGGCTGGTCAAAGTGGAAAGGAGGTATTCGTTTGCTGGGAAGCTCACTGCGTTCACGGTGAGGGGGAAAAAAAAGGCACTGCAACGATCTGAAGTTGAAACAGCCTCAGTCATGCTCCACTGCTTATCTGCAGAAAAACATGTGGAAGGCAAAGACGGAAAGAAAAAAACAAACCATCTCTACAGCACAGAAAAAGAGCATCTGCTAGATTTTTCTTGAGATTATGCAGGAAGTCTCCGTTCCGTCGACGCGTCATAAACCCAGACCGAAGGACAGTCTGAAGGCCATCTCCACGGGAACCTCCGGCACCGAGTCGTGGAAGCAGACGTAGAACTCTTGAGGAACCGGCTCCAGCAGCATCCTCCTGGGAACCAGAACAAAGCAAAGACGGTTATCTTTAAAAGAGGCTTGGAGCCGAGGACGAGCGTCCTGATTTAAAACCCCAGTCAAAAAGGAAGCAGCTGCTTTTTGTCTTCATCCAGGATGATCAGAAGACATGTTCATATTATTCAAGAGCTTTATATATCTGTGAACCTCACACACGTTAAAGGTTCGGTATTCCGTGTGTTTGGACCCAGACGTACCCTATTACCCAGTAAGTCATGGTGGGGGCGGGTTTCCTCTGGTCCGTCCAGTTCTCCGGTTTGCACTGAAACAGAACCCCGTGTTCTTTAACCGGGCCCAGACCCCAGCCGGACCTCTGAGAACGGTCTGCTGCACGGCAACCCTGCACGACACAAAGCAACGCAGGGAGTCACCGAGGTGGCGGGAGACGCAAAGGATGCTGGGAAGAAAATGAGCTTCTCCATTTGATTGTAAGACACAGATGTATGCAAAGTTTTCTCCTTCAAATGCAAAACAAACAGGCAAAAAAACTCATCATTTTCCACATCTTGTCCTGTTACAATTACAAACTAATGTACTTCATAGACTGTCAAAGTAACAAATTTAGCATATTTCAATTAAGTGAAGAATATTTAACTGGAAAACATTTTAAACGTCCAAAATAAACAAAAAAACAAACAAAAAAATCAAGCAACAATAACTGAAATGGACTATGAAGTCTCAGTAAACTAATTTGCATTTCAAAATTAAGCTTAGACACGGAAAAAAAAACAGGCAAAAGTAGCAGGCAAATTAAATATTTAATACTGGGTGGAAAATATTTGCAGTTTTTCTCAAAATGGCGGCTTTTCAATTATGTTAAAAGGGAGCAACTCTAACCATTGTTGTCCAACACTGCAAAAAGATAAACTCTTACAAAGTCTAGCTTTTAGAGCACAAAACTAACTTATAAGTCATATTTCAACAAGACAGGAGTTTTAAGTCAAAAGCTTCTTAATTTTGATTTAAATGTACTTGTTCAACGGTCAGACTACTTCACTTATAACAAGACATTTGGCCCGTCTTATCAGTGATAGATAGATAGATTTATTATTACACAGACTCAAAGTCCAAATATACAAAAAAGAAAAGCAATAAAAGAATAAAAAGTGCATTAAAAATAAATTCATCTGCCGATTGAACCAGAACTTGTTTTAAATTATTCACATAAAACAAGCTCCTATTTCTCACTGAAAAGTAGCTTGTAACTCAGTTTTGTCGTATTTCATGTATATTAAGATATTTGCACTAGAAACTGGACTAAAAACACTTTGTAAGAGTTTGTGTTTTTGCAGTGAAATGGAAAATATCACGCTCATTTTAATTTATCATGTGATTAATTGATTTATCACTCATTGGTATTTTGTGTGGTACTTTGATGCAATTAGAAAGGGAATTTTTTTTTGAAAATGTCAAAATCTCAATCGGAGCCCAGCTGATTCGGGAATGCGTGGCCTCACCCGGGCCGGCAGACTCTGCTGGAAGGCGGCGCGGATGGAGAGGCAGCAGTGGTGGAAGTTGCGTATGAGCTGCGGGTGGATGGAGCCGCTGAGCTGGGCCACTTCTCTGTGAGTGGGAGCGATGAAGATCCCCTGCACCGACTCCATCAGGACGTAGTGAAACAAGGTGTTCTCCGTACCCGAAGTCAGTCTGCCACAGATAACACAGCGGTCTGTTTGACACAAACGCGACTAAATCCGTAAAGTCACACGGGAGGCGGTTTGCTCTGCATTACTTTATGGTGTTGTACATTTCCTCCGTCTCCCTGTCGGTCAGGGTTTTCTTCAGGGTTCCCAGGTAGAAAGGGTTTGGATGCTTCATCCTGGGCATCTGGACAGGAATGAGAATTTTTTAAAAAAAATCTCCCTGTTTCATGAAGATGGCCAGTTTGAGGATTCTAGAAAAAAAAACCTCACAGAAATAATTACTTAAAAAAAATACTTGTAGCAGAAACTCAGTCTCTGTTTTCTTTGTAATTTGAGAAAATGTTCATTAGATTGAATAATGTTTTTAAAAAACAACAACAAAAAAAACAGTAAAAGTGTCAAAACGTTTTGTCACATGCGCCAAATTTGTTGAGTCAGAAATACCAAGAAACAAAAAACAAAAATCAAGCACATTAAATCAATTTGTTTTGTGTGTGTAGACAGCGAATGTTATTAATTATAAATCCAAAACTTCAAAATCATTTTTTTACATTTGCTTTACGAAAAAAACAAAAACGTACTTTTCAAATTATGGCCTGAAAAAGGAAGCAGTAAAGTCTTAATTATAAGACGCCATCTTGTTAGGAAGGTGGTTGTATGGAGGTAAAATTAGCGTTGCACAACAGGAAGCTTTACTGCAACGTGGAGTTAACCTCACGTTGCAGTAATGGGTCACTTTCTTTCAAAACGCTCGCCATAGAGAGCCAATTTTAATAAATTGAGTAAAAGCTAATTTAAGCAGAGCAAAGCTGTCTTTTCATGTAGACATTGTGTTCGAGTCTCTTCGGTCTGACTTCACTTTAATTAGACGCCGGAGCCGGATGTAAACCTGGCGTCTTATAATTAAGACTTTACTGCTTCCTTTTTCAGGCCATAATTTGAGTAAGCAGTTTTATCTTCTACCATTTTTAGCTTTTGTTTAACATCTTCCAGCTCCGGTTTGTGGCTTGTTGTAACCTCAGGGTGAGTCGAGTGCAAATCATTTGGGATGTGTGACTGATAGGAGCGGAGATGTTTGTGCTCAGTGCGCTGCGCTTGTCACAATCTAATAAACTTCTGCCAATTACTTTCTTTATTTCCCCAACAGGTTGAACAATATGCTATATCAACACAACTTTATATTGTGCATATCGTGCTAATTAATTGTGCTACAGAAGCCTTTTGAGTGGGGCTCTCACTCTTAACTCCACGGCGCAGTAAAGCTTCCTGTTGTGCAATGCTAATTTTACCTTCATATCATCACCTTCCTAACAAGATGGCCATTTTTTGCCAGAAGTGTTTTTTTTTTTGCAATATTACCACCTTGAGTCATTTTTTGACTTTTGGGAAAAAATGACTGCACACCTTGAAGAAGTTTCCACCGCCTCCGCTCCCATCAGACCCCAGAGAGTCCCGTCTGCCACCGATCCGTCTCCCTGAGTCCGGGGTGGAGTGAGGGCTGAGACCCGGAGCCGCCGACGAACCGGACCCGGCATCCATCGGACCCTCGCTCCCGCTGTCCGACAAGCTCCTCTGTGGGCTGGACTTGCGGGACTTCTCGCCGAACAGGCTGTGCCCCCTGTGCCCGGACGGAGACCCCCGGATGGCCCCGGCCAGCTTGCTGAGGACGGGGGACGAGGACGCCAGGCGGTCCCGGGTCGTGGCGGCCGGCAGGAACCAGTCGGCGCAGGAGAGGCAGGGAGCGGACGGGACGTTCAGCCGCTCCTCCATGGCTGGCTCCAGCGCGTTCAGCTGCAGGAGGGTGGCTTTCACCTGACGACAGAGCAAGACTTCAAGCGTCTTCATTTCAATCTGGAGCCGATGAGCCGATCGGCTGCGACAGAACCCCCACCTGATCCACATAAACACAGTCGGGTCCTGGAAAGCCCAGAGCCGGAGACGCACACCCGCCCGCCTCCAACAGGACGCACTGCATGAAGTGCCTCTGCGGTGCAGACAGACAGACAGAGAGAGAGAGAGGGATGAGTGCAACTTCGCAAAAGCAGTTTTTACCGTTTCAGGCATGAAAACACAGGTTAAAAGTTTCTCTCCTCACCAGCCCCACTATGAGCAGGAAGTGTCGTCCCTGAGGCTGGCTGAAGCCCGGCGCCATCCCTCCGCTGGCTCTCTGCTGCAGGAACACTTCTCTCCAGATGACCAGCTGACCGACACGCTGCTCCGACGCCAGAGGCAGCAGGCAGAAGTGCTGGCAGTAAAGACACACGTCCAGCAGGTCCTCCTTCGGGAGATGGTTGGCAATCAGGTAGGACTGAGGGCAGAGAGGCACAAAATGATGTAGTGGAAGGAAAGCCATACATGGCTTTAGAAAAATAAGTTAAAATCTGAAAAAGAGTGGCACACACATATATTCTACTCCCTTTAACTTATATACGCCTAAATAAAATCCAGCGTTATACCTTCAGACATAAATATTAGATCAAAGCCTATTTAGTCAAACTCCACCCACTAGTGCAGCTGAGTTGGATCTGAACGTGTAAAGCAGCGAAGAGACTCCAATGAAAACAATCCACCTTTCCAGTTCTCTACTTTGCAATTGCCTCAAGTTTGTCTATTGCAAAAAAAGAAACTCATTAAAAAAAGAAGTTAGTGGTTGTCACTGGACAAAAGATTGGATCTGTCTGGGAACATCTGCAGGTTGCTGCCAGACTGATGTTTGTGCTTGTTTCCACTTTGACCCTTACCTTGTAAAACAAACAGGAGCCGAGTATGACATAGAGACGCCTCAGGCCAAAGAAGTCCTCTGACTGCAAGGAAAACAAAAAACAACAAAGTGTAAATAAATACGGAGAGGTATCTTGCAATCAGGGAAACGTTATGACAATTCTAAGGGCCTCTGATCAACAAGGGGCCCTCCACCAATTATTTATTTATTTTTTTGTTCATTGAAATAAAATAAAAAAACAAACGGGGCCCTGTCAACTACATAATTAATCATATTGTGTTTTCGAAGATTGTTTTTAGAAAATGTAAAGTTACCCCTCCCAGACCAAAAAAATCACACATCCATATTTGCCCCTGGATCTGCATGAAATGGTTGGTTCCTGCTTGTAGTGCTTGAGGTGACGGCGTTCAGTAGAAAACAAGAACACACTCAGTTTTTACAATCTGGAATAATTCAACCAGTCTCACCATTTCTCCAAAGTCAGAGGATTCGAAATCAGAGAGAACAGTATCCACCTCCATCTGGGGAGAACACACACCAACGATAAATCGCCAACACACACCACAATACAGCGCTGATGAATTTATTTTAATTAAACGGCCGTGTTGCACATGAACACCAGGGGGCACCACAGCTGCACACAGGTGGCGTGAGAAGAAGTTACAAACCTTAATTTTAGGAGGCAAAGTGAGCCATCGGACCGCCGGCAGTCCGTCCAGAAAGAGGCTCCCAGAAACGTCGGGCGGCGGCGGCGGCGGGGAGCCTCTCCTCAGGCGCCACGGCTGGATGAGCTGCTGGAAGAACAAGCAGAAGAAATGGTCCAACCTGGGGGCGTGGTCCTGGTTACAGAACGCGCTGCAGAGGACACATCGAGGACGTCAAAGAAAAAAAAAAAAAAAAGGTGAAAGATCATGCCCCAAAATCCAAGAGAGAAGAGGCAGAGAATGACGACAGACTGAATCCTAGAGACGCCGACCTGTTCAAGGAGCCGTACATCACCTTGAGCGTCCGCACCACGTCGCCAACCACCGTCTGCAGGGACAGCAGGGGGACCCTGCGAGAAGACGGGGATGACGTTAAAGACGCACCGGCTACACTCCAGCTTCAGAGAAAAGGAACGAGTCTTATTCTGGTCGTCTCTCACTGTGACAAAATCAGACCAAACTTTGAATGTTTTTCTCTCTTAGGATTACCAAAAGTTATTCATATTTGCTAAATGTCAAAATGATAAAAGAGACATAAGTTTACATAGATTTATGTTTTTGAATGTCCTTCCATAAGCTTCTCACCATAGTTTACAGGAATGTTTCTGCTGCCACAGGTAACTGAGTCAGGTTACGAAGGCCTTCTTAGCTCTGTTCACAATTTCTAAGGGACGGGGATCAGGACTTTCTGTCTCCATAATACTGTCTTTGTTGTCCCTAATCTACTTTGTAGCTGATCTGGTCATCATCCATTAGGAATTCCTATCTGTAAGCTTTAACTTCCTGGCTGACGTCTTAAGGTTTCATTACTTATTATGTCCAAACAACATGCCAGCCCGACCCTTCACACTGGGGATGGCGTCTTCAAGCATTCAAGCTTCCCTCAGTCGCCTCCAAATGTAACAACGGCCAAACTCTTCGTGGTCTTCGTCATTGAGGGCATTTTAACGTTGTCTTTGGAGTAATAGCCTCTCTGTCTCTGGCTTTAACCAACACCAGTCCAGGCCTCGTTTTGGCGTTGGTCGTGTTTTTGCACTAGTGTAAAACTGTTTAAACAGACGAGTTTGGAGTTGTGAAGGTCCATAATTCGACTCCTGACATATTGATTAACTTCTTTTGATTATTCCACGATGTCACACCAGGAGTGTTTGAAGGCGTTGCCTTGAAAGACGCCCGCAGAAGGGATTGCCATTAACTCCAAGGTTGAAGAAATATGTATTAAAAATCATATTTATGGCAAATGGAAGATATTTTTGTAATTCTTACTGACATTAAACAAGAAATATTTAATCTGATTGGAAGCCAGACAGTAAGGGAGAAAAAAAAAAAGTTATTTCAGCTGTAGGATCACAGCTCTCATGCATGAATTATCTTCTCCAGGGAAAGCCTGGATGACTAACTTGGCAAACTATCGGCGACGGCTCCTTCCTTTTAGCAGGCATCCATCTTCAAAACAAAGAAGGCGAAGAGAAGCACATGTTTAAAACGCATCTGAAGAAAGCAGATGCGTTTTTCAGGCTGCTCTCTTAAATCTTGTCTTCAACAAAAATATATTTCTTCAAACGACTCAGACACCAGCGTTTGTTCCCGACTTCCTTTCTCCGTAATGACAACTGTGGCCTGTGTAATGGTAGCCTCTTGGGTCTGTGTGTGCGTGTCGCATGGGTGCGTTTGTTTGGTGCCGCCCGCCTCTACCTCTCAGCAGGGAGACCGACGACCAGCAGGTTATCGTGCTCCTTCCAGTAGCCAACGTGAACCAGATGCTTCCCGAGCAACAGAGACGAACTGAAGGACGGAAAGACGACGAGTCAAAAAGGTGGTTCAGCGACTGAACTCAGCTGGTCAAAGCATGCATGCAAATAAAGTTTAATACATAAAATGATCCGTCACTTTTCCCCCCCAACAACTGGCAGGAAGAATAATGAATTATCGTTAGAAATATTTCGATTACATGCACTCATTAAAGCCATGGCGCTCACTGATTTGGGGTCTTTCACACATTTTGAAGTTATTTTTCTCCCGCAGGGAGTTTGGTTTATACAACAAACAGCTCCATGTAACATGTTACTGTGGTTTCCTCTGATCCAAATGTCACTGGCCTCAAAGGTATCCAGACATCCCCTCTAACTTCTGAATAAATCCTTTGTCAGGTTGCACCTCTTACACGAGCTTTGGGTGTCCAACTTGTATTTTTCTCCATTGGTCTTTTGGTGGAGTTGGAAGTTAGTTTTCGGGCATTGACCCAACTTTTAGGCGTACTTCATAGATGTTCAATGGAGTTCAGATCTATTTAAAACAATAAAAGAAATCTCCTGGATCTTAAGATTAGCGTACTTTATTTGATCTAAAGCTGGTTTGGGATCATTTTCTTGTGGGAAAAACACGTTTAAGACCAAGTTTCAACTATATGAGCAAAACTGATGCAATCAGATGAAAAGAAAGAGGTTGAGATGAACAAGAACCAAAAGAATTGCCAAAATTAAAGCCTGCAAACTTCTGCGACATGTTTTTTACGGACTATATCACAACAGATTGAGTGGATGTCAATTTAACAAAAAGCAATGCGTGTACCTGTACGCCTCCAAGAGTCACTGAAATCAAGAGCAGGTCAAATATCTTTCCTGGAGGAATGTTTTATAGACGGGAGAGTCAAAGATTGTGAAAACTGACCACAGTGAGGAGAAAAGCGTTACGATTGGTCGAGCTGAGGGTTTCAAATCAATGAACAAAACCCGGCTGACATTAACAAAGTGGATGCAATAATGACTATATCTAAGCTCTTCTGCTGGAAGCGTTTCGATGCTGAAACTTGGGACTTGGAGTCGGGTTCTCCAGCAGGTCGGTGACTCCAAACAGTCATTGAAACCGACGTTAGAAAAGAAAACAGCAAACGTTAAGTTTCTGGAACAGCTTTTTGTAAAACCCCAAACTCAACATCAAATTTATGGGCTATGTCTAAAAGACCGGTTGATGCTAAGATGTAAAAAAAAAGAGTGGTCAAATGTCCTCCCACAACCCATGGTGTAATCTGCCTAGGCTCCAGAGGATATTGCTGGAGAGAGACACCGCAGCCCTCAAGCAGAAATAAAAGACGTTTAGAAGTTTTAAATAATAAGGGAATTAAAGGTTATGTAATGACAGAATCTCTGGATCATCTTTGCTTTGCTGGAGCGTAAACTGACTGCAACATCTTCCAGGCAAGTCGCCTTCCCAACCTGATGATGTGGCCTCCTGTGACGTTCTCCAGCATGTCACACAGAGTAAGGAAGATGCCTCTCACTCCTTTCAGCTGGATGGATGCTTCAGACACCGGGTACTGGTACAGGATTTCTTCCTAAACACATAAAGTCACTTCGTTCAGAAATCAGGGTTCATGCAGATTTCATCGACTCAAATTTAAGACTTTTCAAGACCGTTGAGAATGAAATTTAATGTCTTAATAACAAAACGCATTGTTTGGGTTGCCAACAGACGTGAGCCAGTGACGAAGACGAACAAGCAAACTGGTGATAAATTTGCACAAAAAAAAAAAAAATCTAGCTAACTAGCTTTTTTGCTTGCTAGCTATTAGCAGCTAAGTAGCGGTAGCCTAACCGCCTTAAGTAACAAAAAGCAATGTAGATGCATGACTCAAATTGTAGCCTGACTTGAAGTCCTGTAAAGAAAATAAACTACATAGAATATATGACATGAATTGGTCCTGCCATGGCTAAATTTGAGACCTTTGATTAATATTTATATTTTTCAATGAAGTTAAGTCATTTTAAGACCTTAATTCTAGACACCGTACATAAATACAAGACTTTTTAAGTATGCGTGGGCACCCTGGAAATACACTGTGTAAAATATGGCCTGCATCTCGAAAATTACATCTCAGGCTTAGAGAGACATCGCTGGTTAGCCAAACAACACACAAAAAAAGGGTACAAAAAAATGTGCGGTGTCTAGTCTTGGAAGATCAGCAACCAAAACATCTACTGGGTGTAGAAGAGTAGATGGACAGGCAAGTGGATATTTATGCTACCTCAATAACGCTTGGCTGGGTTAAATCTAACCATTGCTTCTCTATGGAATGACGACAATGTGGCTTTTAGGGAGAGAGAGACAAATATTTGAATTTCTTCACTATCAGAAGCTTGTTGGCACAATTCCATTGCTAGTAGGCCTCTCACAAAAAACAATAAATCAATTAATCGCATGATAAATTAAAAGAAACTCAATAGATTTAATTTGATTGATTTATCATTTTCATCTTCATAAAAGTCCTCAGAAAGCAGATGGGTTCTTCGTCTCAACCATCCCTTTTTTCGAACAACAATCTTATTTACACAGACTTCATAATTCATTTTATTTGTTGTTTTCTTTATTTATTTTGAACATTTCAAATGTCTTCCAGTTCCAATGTTCCTTAGAATATAATATTTATTGATCTTAGAGAATGTGTCCTTGCATTTTATGCCATTACTACTATTATATTACTTTAAAATGGCCTCAAAACGTTATTGTTTTGAGGCATTATCGTCTATCGCATTAAGTTCTGGGACAATTTATCATCCACAAAATTTGTTATTGTGACAGGTCTATTTATTAACACTGACGAGAGTGCAATGAGACAAAATGTACTAATTCGGAGCATCGCTGGTGTATCAGCATTCCTTCCAGTAGTGGGAATTTAAGGACTGAATGGTGGGAGTGGGAATTGAAAACCCCTAAATGAACTTGGCAACCGGAGCAAAAGACTCACAAAAGATACTGACCATTAGGTCGAGAAAGCGTGCTGGAAGGCTTTTGAAGTGCGAGAGCTCTTATCAACAACTCTGGGCAGATCTGAAACTCTAACCTGCAGCAGCTGCTGAACATCTCACGTTCCACCACCCTGCAATCACGAGACTAAAGAATCAAAGCCACGGTTTAGAGGGTGTGCACGCAGCACTGTCACTTGGAAAATCGGCCGCTCGCTGATGCGGCTCTGGACAAGCCATATTCCTCTTCGCCACCGTAGTTTAGGTCCAGATAAAGGCAAAGAAATAAACAAATCTGGCACGCAGACACACAGTGAAGGAGCAAAGCACGACCGCCGAGCTGAACACATGTAATTACACTGTCAGTCAGAAGTGCTTCTCACAGCAGCTGTGCACAACAGGGAAGCTGCTGTGTCCACGCATATAATTTGAACGGCCCTACAAACTTGGTTCTGATAAAAAAAAAAAAATCAAAAAAGCGGGAGGGGGGGTTGGAGGAATAGCTCGTTGTTGTTACGCTCTGATCCAAAACAGATTTGATTAAGACTCCACACAGTGCAGCTGACAGCGTTTAAATCGTGGGTCATTTGCCGTAAGAAGCCGAACCAATCACGAAGCTTTCTGATGTTTCTTTTTCTTTGTCCTGGAAATCGTCCACAGCAGTAGTTTCCAGACAAAAAAAACGTCCGGAGGGATTCGTTTATAATGCTGTGATTTCCCTCTCAACTTCTCTTCTTTGCACTCCATTACCCAGATCCGCTTTCAGGGAACCAACATAATTAAAGTGGCCTGAGCGATGTCCTAATGGAGATTTGTAAGGGTTGCTAAGAGCCAAAGTAATGATTTGGTCTCCACAAGAATTTTCTTTCCAAAGGGATGGAAAAGTGTCTAGACAACCACGGTTTGAGCAGAAGCAGCCTTTTGTTCTGTGAATGGGGTTTGATTTGTAGTCGTCTCACATAATAAAACAGCCCAAGCTGTTTTTGTCCACTCTCAGCACCCATTGCATGCTTGGCTTCAATCTTCTTAGTGTCTCCTCTACAGGCTTCTGGCTTCCAATCAACAATTTCCAAGACTGCGGAAACACCGGAGGTTTATGTTTGATTCAACAGCATCAGCATAACCCTAATTTAATGTTGTCCCGTTTCAATGATTTTATTTTCCTGTCAAACTGTTCTGATAGGGCGAAACCGGTCAAAGTTCTTCCACCGGTTCCATGGAGCTCAGAGAATAGACTTCTGTTAGTTTTTAAATCACTGAATGGCTTGACGCCAAAATACTTTGTCGTATCAACCCTCCAGATCACTCCTGGTCTCCTGTTTCTGGTCTCCGCATCTCCAGAACCAGAACCAGAACCAAACACAGAGAAGCAGCATTCAGCTTTTATGCTCCATTAATCAGGGAGAAACTTCTAGAAAACTGCACAGCTGCCAAAACACTGACTTCCTTTAAATCAAGCCTAAAAGCCCACCAGTTTAGAGACTCATAATCAATAAAACAATGATCAACATATTTGTCATATATTTGCTTCATGATTTTCACCTGTGAAGCACTTTGAACTGCCTTGTTGCTAAGCGATAAATTAATCACATGATAAATTAAAATGATCGTTTCTATTCTCATGATTAGTATTTTTTGAAGGGAAATCGGATGAATCATAAAAAAGCCTAACAGATCGATGTGACATTTAGACAACAGAATAAATAATAAAGACTAGATATAAAATTATCTTCCTATACTTTGATGTTCTCTCTCCATACTAATTCAAATACGGAAAAAACCTCAACAAAACTCCACACTTTTTCAGGCTGTGAACCAATTCTCTTCATTAAGATCAGAAAACCAGGAGCCAAGACTCAGATCACCCTCATTTTAGGTTTAATAACTATAAAAGGCATTTTATCTCCCACTTATTCTGAACCAAAGGTTACTTTCCGACTCAAAAAGCTCATATATACTTTAATAAACCAGCTCTACATGTCCAATAAAACGTCCAGATGTTTTATCGCTTTCTTTCAGCTCCATAAACTCCAGAACGAACAGTTTCCGGTTGATTCTATTCAGAAAATAATCATGCAGTGGTTTGTTGCAGGTTGTGAGGGGACCGACCTCTTCCTGCGGAGACGTGGAGTCCAGTTTGAGCGACAGGTACATGACGACGTGCGGGATGTGCCCGATGGCCATCTGGAGCTCCGCCGTGTCCTCACCCCACAACAAGCGCACCAGTTGGCTGACCGGTGGGGAGGCCTTCATCTTCTGGACCGGAGAGGAGTCACTGGGAGCAGCGCAGTCCTCTGGAGCCGCCGTCTCCAACGTCAGCTTCACCTGCAAGGGCGGGCAGGAAGCAGATATAGAGCCAGGTGAAGGAGAAGATGCTCTGGTCACAGACCAACGCAAAAGACATAGGAAGATGTGCTGAATACAAATGCACGCCACACTTTTCAGATTTTTTTTTTCTTTGCAAATAACGCTGACGTTTCCTGTCACTTCACAATTATAAAATAAAATTTAAAAAAATGACCGCAAATGAAACATACATAACATCTGAATGTGGAAGACGGAAATAAAATAAAATGTTGCAGAAGTCAACAAAGTCATACTAAATGAATACAGAGAAATTATCATTAAATTAAAAAATACATATAAAAAATCATTCAATTAAAAAAAGGAAACTAATAATAAGATCGGAAACAAAATGGAACATTGAATGATAATTATCATGTTAATTAATACTGTTGAGAATGATGCATTGACTTATATTACACTGGATTATTAAGTTGAGAACATTTTTTTCATTTTTTATTTGTCAGATGCAATAGCTGGTGCATAAATTACTTTATCAAGCCATTTATTTATTTATGTTTATTGCCAATTAAGCCAGAATCCATCCTCCTATTTATCACATACAAACTCAACGATGTGCCCATAAATCTGAAAGTACAAAAAAGGTGAACGATGTATGAACAAGTCCAGAAGTATAAAGACTTCAGCGCTGAGACGATCACTGAGCAAATGGGAACAGGATGGCAGCTAAAAGAGGAAAAACACTCTTTCTTCTAGAAAGCAGGAAGATGTCTGTGTGTTTCTGAGCATCTCTCATCAAATAAAAACCGCGCTTCTGCCAAGCCATGAGCGAGCATAGAGTCAGCTTTGGACGTCTCCTAATTGGAAACAGACAGCAGTCGTTTCAATGCAGGAACAATGCAGGGTCTCGGCTTCCTGCGCTCCTATTGGTTAAACCTTTTTAAAATGCAGAATCGTAGCATATCATCAAAACAGACCCTCTTCAAAATGGGTTGTTTTTTTTCCAGTTCATTTTTTGTTATTTTAATTACAGGAACCTTTTTAAGACCATTATGAATGAAATTCAAGATGTGTGTCACAAAACAAAAATGCATATTTTATAGCAGCACAGCCAAAAGTTTCTGAACAAAATGAATTTGCAACAGAAGACCGACATCGTCCAGCAAACTTTCCAGATGCAAGACGCTAGCTAGCAGGGTAACGTAAGATCATTTCATTACACATTTTCAGCAACAAGGCAATTCGAAGTACTTTACACGGTTTAGAAAGAAATACAAACAAAACAACAAACCAAAGCTAGCTAGCAGGTCTATGTTAGCAGCTAGCTAGCTAGCGGTAGCCTTGAATCGAAACATGTGATGAAGATGTTTGTGTTTGACTCAAACTTTTGCCTGGCAGAGAAAAATAAACTACATAGAATATACGACATAAATTTCAGACCTTAAATTAACATATTTAAGGCTAACTTGGATTTTTCTGATGAATTTAATACATTTTATGACCTTAATTTAAGATACATGAATGTAAGACTTTTTAAGGACAGACAGATTTTTGGGTCCTAAACAATGGGGTAGCGAATAAAAGCTGGAAAACCAAATATTTTCCCAACTTCATTTTCTTTTCCAAACCTCGAAAAAACAGACAAGCAATTCCAAGCTATCTCGTGAAATATAAGAACCCTATCAGGTTTAATATGACCATTGTTTGCGTTGGCAGGAATAACATAACAGCTGTAAAGCCATCTAGGTCTGCATGTTACGCTGTCTTTCAGCTCTGACCAAATGTGATGTTAAAAAAAAAAAAAGATCAAATTACCGTGCCAGAAAGGTAAAAGCTATATTTTTCTAATCCAACGGTCTGTGCAGAGCCTGTCAGCTCTAACCACAGGCCGCGGGCCCCTCCAGCAGGCCCCTACATCAAGGCCCTCAGCTATTTTAGCCCCTTTTACTGGAAGACTGTCATTACGGAGCCAGCGGCCGATCCTGATTCGTCGAGTGATGAACCTTTCCACTTATTACTCTGTCTAAATGCCCCGTCGTAGTGGCGACCTCTGCTTAGAGGTCTGAACACTACCACTGCGATGTAACTTGACCTCTGTTTTTAATTATTTCGGTAAACGACGCAAGTGAATGCGACCCGAACGCATTAAATGTAGACATGAGTAAAACAGTTCAGACCTCAGAGTCGGGAAAACACAGAGAAAAAAAAAAAAAACAGCCTGAACAGGCAAACTGCAGCACTTTCCTTCATGAATTATACGGCTGTGGTCAGGCATGAGTGTGCTTTCATTGAAATTCCAGCCTGTTGATGTCAGTCATTTACCATCCACTGATGGACACACACACACACACACACACACACACACACACACACACACAGACACACACACACACACACACACACACACACACACACACACACACACACACACACACACACACACACACACACACACACACACACACACACACACCGGAGACACTGCAGTTAGGGTTAGAAAATGGCCTGACTTTAATGCTAATACGCATCCCTCCCGACATAATAAGCCCTGTCTGCTCCATGTGGGCCGGCGGCCACACAGAAAAAACCACCCAACTTCAAGCTCACGCTTATATGGACAAAATACACCCATCTGTCAGCAACACGGCTCTATTTCAAGTCCGAAGCTAATTCCTGTGCCCAGAGAACCTTGCTATTTTTCCATAAAGCCTTCCCCTGCATGTAATTTGGTTTCCGACAACATCTTCTAATCAGCCGAGCCACAGCAGCTTCCTGTGGCGCCAAAACTGTCACACGGCGGCGATCCGGCTGAGCCAACCCGCTTCGGCTTCGGCTCGCGGCACGCTCTGTCATTTGCAAATTCCTGCTTTTTGATGGTTTGTTTTCGTTGGAGGGGGCAACAAATGTTCAACTTAAAAATGAGGAGTTTTGTGTTATTTTTTTTTTGGGTACAGTCAAAGAATTTTTTCTAACTTCTGTTTTAAGTCCTGTGCGTTTGCTCTGTCCGCCCACTCTGCTCTCTGCTTTCAGTGCATGCTTGTGACATTTTGAAAAAACAGGTCATTAAAATATTAACTCGTTAAAGCTTGGAAGAAGGAACAATAACAGCAATAAATCAGATTTGAAACAAAAGTAATCAGATTCTGCCTAAATTTGTCACAAGAACAAATTTAGCTGGATGCTAAATTATTCCTGAAATTATTGTGATAAAGATATTGTTGTCATTTTGTGACTATTTTTTCAACTGATATGATAATAATAACGACATGTTACTGCAAGTACATCATCTCAAAGATAATAAAAGCCCATTCGTTTCTAGAAAAAATTTAACTGCAAAACAATTTAAATATCCGAACAAAACAATAAAAGTTTAATATATTATGACGTCTTGGTAAACAAAATTTTGTTTACCAAAAAAGAATTATACTTATTCAGTTTAGACATGAAAAACAGGCAAAAGTGACAGGCGGTGCTTCAAATCGAGGGTCAAATATTTACAACGTTTGCAAAAATTCCAGTTTTTCAGCGACATTAAAGGAGAGCTTCTCTTTTTTAACGTTTTAACATGTTATGCGATTAATTGACTTATTGGTCAATGCTGCAGGTTTAAATCCTGCCTGAAGTGTTTAGGAACAGGAGTCTGACCTGCGTCGGTCCTGGGATGCAGGACAGAACCCTCTCGATGTTCTCAGCGCTCACGTCAACATCGTCCACAGCCAAGAGGATGTCGCCTGAACAGAGACAGAAAACATTTAATCTGCTGAGATGAGACAACTATACGACATGCAGTAGCCCTGTTATGAACTCCACATGTTAACTGACCCCACAAAGAAGATTCATTCAAAAGATACCCGAAAGTACTTATTATCGGTTTTAGAAATGTAGAAAACCGGTGGCATTTGACGTCTGCTTTTTGTTTTGCCTGCAAGAATCCAATAAAAAGCAGTTAAACGACTTCACATGCTTGTGATTAATGATCACTGCGGCTTTTTAGCTGCTCTAATGGCTCAAACATGTTGCAGCGAGGAACAAAAAGTGACGGATTAGAGCAGATTCCTCACATAAAGCTGTGGAAAAACAGACCAGGGATTATTTCTGCACACATCGTACACAAAGAATCGATTTACAGCGTCTCGTACGAGTACGCATGCTCTTTGAAGGTTTTCCACGCTTTTTTTTTGTTTTTGTTTTAAAGCTACAAAATAAATCCCACCGCAAAGATGTGGAACTCGGCTGATGATCTAAACTTCAATAAATTTCCATGGTTATTTCATCCCTGGTATGATGCCTAAAACCATTTAGGATGAAAACAGGAGTAGAAATATGATGCGAGGCTATGCTAGCCGTTTACAGGTAACTTTACGAACGAGGTTCTTACCGATCAGAATTTGACCACATTTTATAGCTGGACTGTTTGGTATTAATCCGTGGACGGTCAGTCCCCCGGCTCCTCTGTCTTTCTGACCTCCGGTCCTGGCAGGACGATGCACCAAGCCCAGCAGAGCTTCCAGCAGTCCTCCTCTTTCACACAGCGGCGTCGGCGAACTCGCCAACCGCTTGGGGTTCAGGTAGACGCACACTTCCTTCAGCCGGCGCCGCAGAACGACCACGCCCTGCTGCTGCCCTGGCTGCGTCTTCAGGATGGAAGCCGGAGGCGAGGAAGTGGCTTTGCCTCTGCTGCCCTCCTTGCCTCCTTTGCGCTGAGACGGACGGCGTTTCCTCCCCAGGATCCTGGCTAGCTTTTTGAGAGCGGGCTCGCCTTTCCTCCGCGAGCCGCGCCGCTGCGCGCTGGCCTGCTCCGTGATGACCTCTGCCTCCTTTTCACTGAAGCGGACGTGGTTAGTGGATAAGCACTGGCTCGCTGCGACCCGCGCCAAGGTGGCCTCCTCCTCGCCCTCGCTTAGCTCCAGGTAGAACAGCTCCCCGTTCTTCTGGATGTCATCCAGCCATTCTGGCTCCAGGTCACTGAAAGCAAAACGGAGCGTTTTTACGAGACAGGGTGAACCAAACCCCTGGTGGGAAAACACAGAACCATTGCTTATGCTTTCTAAACTTACAAAGTGAAGCTTTTTAAACACAAATGAGCAAATAAAATAAAACTACAACTTTTTTTTTTTTTATTTCCTTAAGATCTTTTTTTGTTGCTTATTTATACGGTTGCTTTATAGATTTGTTCAAGTTTCCATGTCATTTTCTCTTCAAACTCCATTGAACTCACATAAAAGTTGCAGCCTGGTGTTAAAATATTCTGGTTCTGATCAGGACCCTCCTTGGAGAAGACGTTTATTCACTAATGTTCTCTAATTTAAAAAAAAAAAAAAAAAAAAAAAAAAAGAACAAAACATGTAGAACCAGAACCACTGGATCTACTTTACTATAAGACAATTTCTGAAGGTGAGCGGCTGCTAAATTTTATTTAAGGGGATCAGAGTAGAAGGGAATACAAGTCCTTGCTACGCTAATAATGCACTATACTGTGTTGGTATTTTGTAGAAATGCCACACACAGAATATAGTTATGAGTTTGTGTTTGCAAAGTCACAAAATAATAATAGTAGGGATACTTTTCACAGACACAGAAAAGGCTGCATTAATGTGCATGTTTTGCAATATTTAATGCAAGAGCTACAAGTATTTTCTTCATTTATTCTGCCTTGACAAAAAAAAAAACCGAAATGAAAAGCAAATTTATAGGGACACGTTTAAAAAGCTTTATGTATTTAGATTTTTTAAAAAAAATAAATAAAAAACTCCGGTAGATTAAGTGGGAACACATGCTTTACGAGGGTTTTCTAGGGCGTCCAAACCACAAAACATCTTTTTGTCTGTCTTGACTTTTAAAGGACATATTGCTGCCTGAAACCGTAGCTGGAACATTTTCTTTTTTGCCTCAAACCCCCAGACTGAGCAAGTTATCCTTACTAGTCGTAGTCGGAGCTGCTGGAACTCGATGATGTGGATTCGGCGTCTTCTTTTGCTTTCTGGGCTGTCGAAAGTGTCTTTTCAGAACAAAGTCTGGGGCTCACGGACGCCATTGTGTTGTAAAACCATCTCACTCAAGCGTAAACTCCCGAACTGGACCAAAAGTTCATTTCAGTTCTTTATTTCTGGGCAATGATAATAATGATTAAAAAAAGCTCTTTTCGCCATGTTTGATACAGCGCTGGCTAATGTGCAGAGTGTCACGTGACACAAGAGCGTACGTTCTGATTGGCGGATGTCACCGTTGCCCTTGACAACACACAAGCGTCGTCTTGCTAGCGCATTTAGCAGATTCACGGTTATGCCATTAAGAAATGACGATATTCCAGCGAATTACAGCTGTTAACCGGTTTAATCTTTGTTTAATCCACATTCGCCTCCATTATGTAAAATAGAAGGACTGGTTTATATTAGCTATTTTTGGTCAGGTGGCCAAAATACCAACAACCTAGAGAGAAGTACGGATAACTTGGCTAACTTTGTCAAGTTGTATTTCAACCTGAAATGACAGATTCGCGACATTGACTCGGATTCCAACTCAGAAAATTGCAGAAATTAGTAGGTGTACGCCATAAACAGCGTATAAAATTTCAATATACAGCACACGACCAAAAGTGAATATCCAGCTTCTTCTTGTTGATTTATTAGCTCAGCAGCTCATCTGTATTATTATTATTATTATTTTAAATCCCCTTTGGCATTCGGCGCAAAGCCTGGCAAAGTTCCCCGGCTCACAAACAGAAGCGCACGATCGACAGAAGCTGATATATAAAGTGGTGAAATGTCCGCAGAAGCTCCGACTGACCTGTAAAGCAGAACGCTGCGGATGGAGTCGAAGTCCTCCAAATTATCTGAGAAGGAATTTCCATCTATGAGGTTAAACATCCTCTGGGTTTCATGTTTCGAGACGATGTTCTCAGTGAACAGTAAGAAAAAGCCAAATGTAATAACTTGAAAATAAACCCGATCCGAAGTCGCTTCTTCCCTTTAAAATGAGGACTTTGACTGTAAAAGCCACGGCAACATTAAGCTCCTGTCGGATCCTCCCTCGAGCTTCATACGTCAATCACTTCTTCTTTTGTTTTTTGTTTTTTTTCCCCCCTTTGGATGAGTTTCTCCGGGACAGCAGAGCGGAATGCAGCCCAGCTATCTACTTGGCATTTTGAGAAAACTATCAAAAGCACAACTCACACAAGACTGAGGGAGACGAAAGTGCCACTGAGGAAGAAAAAGATACAGCAGTGACGCGCCACATGATTTTAGAGAAACTACCCTCTTCATCTGGCATTTAGTGCAGGCTAACCTGAAATTGCCATAATATTTCTTTATATAAGGCCCATCTACTCAGGCATGTTGCGATTTAGTAGCATAACTAAAGAAAAATGGACTTGAGTTCTTTTCTGCACCATTAGATACCAAATTTATATCAGTTGCACTTAATAATTGGAGTTAATTATTTTTTTAATTTAATAAAAGTAACTAGCTGAAAGCAGAGCACCGTTCATTACCAAACAAAGTGATACAAAAAATAAAACAGTTCTGAGTAACGGGAGCGATTCCTACCGCTTAGAGCCGTTCAAAGGAATCAAATCGCTACTGAACAACAACGAGCATCTATAACTCAAGCTTCCTCTGATATCTGAAGTTTGTAATACAAGCTTAAGTTTGTTTTCCATCACTTACACAAGACTTCAGCTGTTTCCATTTAACCTTTGCCGCAACCACTCTGATCATACTTCCACCCTCGCTGTTTCCTAGGAAACAGTGAACGGTCATCAAAAGTAAAGAGCCCATGAATTTAATCATCACTCTTCACCCGCTTCGCGCTCAGGTAGAAGTATCACCAACTCATCATCGTGGTTAGCGAGACCATACAGTTTGGAGTCACATTTCTCAAGTCAAAAACTATAGAAATGATCCCTGAAAGTATAGTCTTAACTTCCCTCTGACACTCCCTACGCTTTAGTACTCACGTCCTGCCCTTCTCAGTGACGGTGCAAACAACACGTTTTGCTCTCTACACAAGCACAACGAACACACATAGAAGCATCACAACATAACTTAGAAATAACAGCTGTTTTAAAATTAAAACCAGTATAAACATAAAAAAGACGTATAAACTCTATTGTATCACCCACAATGCATTGTGGTTTTGTATTCCGGCTGCATCGATGCCACATGCTAATAGGGACGCAATCGCTACATTTACAACCGAGGTATAAAAAATAGTGTTCACATCATTCGCTTGGATGCAAAGCGACAGTGACAAACTGGCAAGCGGTAGAAAGATTGGCATCACAGAATGTACATGAATTTAAGATCGAAGCTCACAAGTGCGTCGATAAAAGTTGCCGACTAAAACTGATCACAAGAGAAATAGTTCCTACCAGCGTCAGAGTGACAGATCAGATTTAAAATCATATTCTGAACTGTTTTAATGGTCTAAAATGATATTTAAAATGTCTGAATTCAACCTATAAATTGTCTCCTTTTCAGTTAACTCAACAAATAGGTACATTTGTAGAAAAAAAAAACTTTTGGGCTTACTCTTGCTAATTTGACGTCAAATGTCAGGCTTTAAAAAAAAAAAGGGAAACGTGTGTTTAGCTTAAGCCCGCCATAAAATGTTCACATTGTAAAATGCCTGTTCAAGTTTGGGTGTTTGGTCAATGTAATCTATCACGAAATTCGGAAATGATATAAAACACCGTATAAAACAATTTAGTAATTACTATTAATGATAATTTAAAACCTGAACAGGGTTAGCTATGCTACAATGCCATAGCCACTACTTTCAACCAGTTGAAAGTAGTTTAGCAGCTAGTTTAGCTAGTTGAGTTGCTTTTAGCAGCTAGTTGAGCAATATTAACGTTGTATAGAAATAATTAGAATTTATTTGAAATGTAAACTTATACTCACTAAATAATGTTGCTATGCGGACTCGCACTTTACAAGGAGGGCAGAACTGTACTGAGAAAAGATATGTTCACGGACCTTCGAAATCTTGTGTGTCATTTTGGCAAGTTGTTCAACGGCAACTCTTTGAAAACGATTTAGCAACTTTACACATAAGAGATTAGTGAAGAGGGTGTAGCTAACTAAATACCAAAAATATTAGTATAGCAACGTTTTTCTGCCATAATCCAAGACTACGCATTTTCAGCCTGAAAGCAGGATTTTATATGTGCTCTTGGTTTATAGCAGAAAAAATCCTCCATACCCCAACATTTAGTCAATAGACAGAGCTAGAGTTTCACAATGTCAAATATCAATCAGCTTTTCTTAAAAATATAAGTATGCATAAAAATGATTCCATTAAATTTTAATTGTTAATTTTCACATTCAACAACTCTGAACAAGTTTCACCAATTAAACACTGGTTTGACTGTAATAATATTACATTTCATTTAATTTATTTTTATTTTATTTTATTTTATTTTATTTTATTTTATTAAATCACTCATCGCCCCCTTCTGGTGAATCAGCGCAAATGAAACGTTAGTGTTTAAAGGGAGACAATTGCATTTGTATTTTTTTCTAACTTCACTATTTTGTATATTTATGTGTATACAAAAAAAAGTTATATAAGTGAATAAAAAATAATCGGTTCTTGATTCACATTTATCGACACTTCGTTTCCGCTCACTGTGACGTCACTCTCCGGAAATCTCACGTGCTCGTAACCAGGAAGTAAGTCCTCTGCAAACATGCACGGCGTCCCATGCAGTTCTAGTCTTTGCTTTCGCTGCTAACATTCATTGTTGTGTCAATGTTTGGGGGTTGACGCAGGGATCTCTTGTAATAAACTCCCGGTATGCGTCACAGGTCAGACTTTCAAGCTCTGACAGGAATATTTGGAGGTTTCCGAGAGGAATAAGGTATTCTTTTCTGCCAGATGTCTCTGGGATCGAGTGAAAAGCTGCATGTTTCGTCAGGAACGCGTGAGGCGGATCCGGACGAGGCTTCAGAGCTCCTGGATCTGCTGCGCCTGGACCTGGATCCGGATGGAGAGCAAAGAGCAGCCGAGGGAGGCGATGCGCCCTGTTCTGTAAGTAGGTCGCATGAAGAACAGCCTTCAGAAATCCACAAGCTGACCTTTGGGTGAGGTTGTTTTTAACATTCAGTTAGTTTTTTAAAAAAATGCGCTTGACAAACTTTGCTCCCACTAAAATTCCGCAGAATGATCAAACTCACATGAATACACTGTAAATAGTCTTATTGTCTTAACAAGATTAAAAAACATATTTATATTGCACAAAAAGATGAGCCGACTTCTCTTGATTATTATGACAAACACATGATCTCCACTAATCCAGCAGTTATTTATTTATTTTTGTTATTTATTTATTTATTGTTTTTGTAAATATAACAATCTAAAACCAACCCTAACTCTAATTTGGAGATAATTACCTTAAATATAAACATATTTCAGTATTTTCTTTTATTATTATAATGTTCATTTAAAACATTATCTTGAGCTTAAACAGTTTAATTAATCCTGATTGCTTTCCTGAAAAGCACCAACGTATTAACACAATATAAAGCTTCATGGATATTTGATTTTTCTTTAATGGTTTTTTATTCTTTGATTAGTATATTGAAAAGTAGATTTTTTTTATTTTATTTTATTTGATTAGAGCCCATTTTCTGGCCATTACTGCATTACTGTGTTTAAAAAATCAAGTACAGTGCAATGTAAAAATCATTTTCAGCAAAAGCTTTAATGTCTTTGGGATTTTATGAGATGAATCAACACAAAACAGAAGTGAAGTGTTTCTGGTTTATTTTTATGTGCTTTTTTATATTTTATGAGCAGAAGAACGTGCTGAGGAAGCAGCGACACTGGGAGAGACAGCTGGCTGCGAAGAAGAGCAAACGCAAAGAAGAGAAACAGAGGAGGAGGTTGAACCGCGCCCGGGAATCAGGTGAAGACCGAGGAGACTCGACAGACGCTGAGGATCTCAGCGCGATCCGTCGACTTTTTGTCATCCTTTGTCCTGTTCGTAAAGGTGGTGACACGGACGCCGCGCAGCTCACCAAGCGAGTCATGAAGGCGATCACCAAAGAGCGTCTGGCAGAGGCTCGCTCCACGGGTCGGAAGCTTTGCGTGGACCTCAGCATGACAGACTGCATGTCTGACAAGGTGACAAATCCTGCAGAAACAGAGTCGGTTGTAATTACTGGAGGAACTGTTTTGAAAAAGTTTACTTTTACAAGTATTTTTACTCCGTTGTACTTTTTAGTTTTATTTGAGTGATTTGATGAAGCAGCTCCACTCTTATTTGAGTAAAAGTTCTGGATTCTTTGCCCACTGAATGAAAAACAAACATGTTTCAATCAGCTGCTCACCAGACACAGACACGCATCAACAATTTTTTTGTTAAAGTTTTTTATTTAAAAAAAAAAAACTGATTTGGAACAATAATCTTTTACCTGATTTTCTGTTTTTTGTCATATTCGTCCGTAAAATACCAACGTTTCACTTTACATTTTGGTCTGTCTGATTATGTAATTTTTAAATACTAAATGATTGATACTGGAATAGACGTTTTACCAGACACTTTTTTTACTCTTACTTTAGTAATTTCCTGGGTGGCTAACATTTCACCTTTACTAGAGTGAAAGTTTGCTGAAGCAGCGCTACTCTTCCCTTTGCTTTGCTGTCCTCAATGTCGAAGTGAACGTGAGAAATAAAAACGCGCTTCCTTCTCGCTCAGGAGATAAGCCGGCTGGCGGGCCAGCTAAGGCGGCTGTACGGGTCGAACAAGAGGGCGACTCGGCCGTTTCATCTGTTCCTGACGGATCTGAGAGACGGCAGCCGACTCTACCGGGAGTGTGTTCGAATGAACGACGGCTTCCTCGGCTACGCGGTGATTCTATCGATCTCCGATTATCCTCTTGTCAGAGAGAGTCAGAAAAGTCTCTGCAAAACTGTTTTGAACAAAAAGTAAAAGTACGAAACGTGTTTGTTTGCGACACGTTTCTTCGTTTTCATGCTGCATTTCCTTTTGCCTCATTGTCACTCACTTTGTTTTCTTTTAATGTTTGTTTGGTGTAGATGGAAATAACAGAGGAAAGCTGTTTGGACCTGTTTCCTTCAGAATCTGTCGTTTATCTCACCCCAGATGCCCAAGAAGGTCTGGTAATTTTTATTTACTTACTTTCATATACAGATGCAGCTCAGTAAATTAGAATATCAATAAAAAGTTTATTTGTTTCCTTAATTAAATTAAAATGGTGAAACACGTGTATTACGTATATTCATTACACACATATAACATGGAGTTCAATTGTCAAATGTCGATTGATTTAACTAATAAGGACTTATCCCAGTTGTTTGTGCTACATTCTCCACCACTTTTTTCTTCCACTTAACTTTCCATTAATGTGCTTGAAACACCAAGCTTCTTCAAATGGGACGTAATTCACCTTCGTTGTGAATTATGCCCCATAATTATGTAGATCATAACATGGTCAGATTTTGTAAAGCATATTTTGCCCACCAGAGGGAGCTATTAGCCTGAATGTTTCTCACCTTTGAAGACCTAAAAGGCCACAATTAAATATAGAAACACGTTGTTAAATAGCCATTTAGATACATGTGATATTTCAGATGCAATTGGAAATTAATCTAATAAATAAACAAATTTCTAATTACTTAAATGTTTCCATTATTTATTACATTTTCAAGTGACTAAATGGGAAAACAATTATTTAAAATGTTTGTTGCATTCTTAAAGAAAATATAGTCATTTAGGTATTTATTTCTTGTCTTATCATATTTTCTTGTGTTTCAATACGCGGTGACTTAAATCAATGTGACACTCCGTACTGAGAACCTAGGCTGGGATTCGAACCCAGAACCTTCCTGCTGCAACGCAACAGCGAATATTTCTAGCAATGTTTATTTCAACTATCCCACATACAAATGTTAAGTAAAAATGAGTAAAATGTCAGTGTGATGTTGAAGAAGTACTGCTTATGCCCACAATGTTTTGTCATTTATCACAGCTTTGCAGACAGTGGACGCTGACAAAGTGTACGTCCTGGGCGGCCTGGTGGATGAAAGCATCCAGAAGGTAAAATCAGCGCATTTAAAAACAGAAACCAGCTCAGAGTTTGATGGTTTCATGAGCCCAGCCCCTTCACTGTTCGCTTTGGCGCACAGATAAATGAATAACTGAGTTAGTCGTCTGCTTTGTGGGCTTTCTGGTGCAGAAGCTGAGCCTGTCCAGAGCCGCGGAGCTGAGCGTCCGCACCGCCAGGCTCCCTGTGGACGAGTACATGGTGAAGAAAAACAACGCAAAGAATTTCCACTCCAAGATCCTCGCCGTTAATCAAGGCGAGCCGTGACATCTGTCTGCGAGAGATTTTTTTTTTAAATATAGTTTTTAAAACTCCTTTATTTATTTAGAAAATTGTCTCTTTCGTCCACAGTGTTTGACATCTTGTTAACGTTCTCGGAGACCGGCAGCTGGACACAGGCGCTGCAGACGTGGTTTCCTGCAGGAAAGGGTTTCGTCATCTCACCGGAAAACTCAACATGTTTTCCTGTTGAGGAGCAATGAAATAATTTATTAGTCATTAGGTTTTTCAATGGACAATCAGCTGCAAAAACTCCTAAAATTACCTGGTACACTGCAGTGTATTTATGTTTTATGCTATTTGGCACCAAACGATTAAATCTGAAGCTTTGGAGAGAAGACATGCAGAAAATCTGATTAGAAACGTAAAGTTGTGTGTCGTCTTACTGATCAAAAAGGATCAGTTGAAGAAGTTCATTTTGTTCACATTCTTTTAAAAAGGATTCTTCTATTCCGGTTTATCCGCTTAGGGCCGTGGGATTATTTATTACTGCCAAAATTTTCAATGAACTCTTTGTGCCCCACGAAATGTTTTTGTTGGCATCGCCTCTCTGTGGACTTTGATTGGTTTCCTTGGAAAAATGTCGAATGAATTTTCAGTGTTGTTTTGAGAGAGAGAGAAAAAAAAAGAGTCTCATGGAAATGAGTCAAATGTCCAAACATGCCATCACAAAAAAAAAAAACATTTCTTTGTCTTCTTGCCTGTGAAAAGATAAACTGTGTAAAATGAGCTTGTTTGGACAAGTGAGGAAAAAAAAGATCAGAGCAATGTATGATGCCTCACCTGTCAGACAAGCTCAGATCAGCTGAGAAACACCGTTGCATCTCCGAAACTTCCTCAAATTCAGTTTTGTTTGTCTAGATGTCGGCTTAGAGCTTCAAGCATCTCAAGTTTTTTTCTCCGAACTGATGGTGAAAAAAAGCAGAAAACCCTGAAAGCATCTTTTAACTAGAAAAGAGACAATCAGGAATAACACAGTTTTTGTTTCTGGTGCAGAAGGGAAGAACTTGATAATTTATTTATTTTGGACTTTCTTTGAATGAAATATATTTTCAGTTTAAAGCTCTCTGGGCGATTGGCAGTGGAGTCGGTTACATTCTCATCATTTATCGAAAATAAGCTGCTTTGAAGCAGAATCAAGTCTTGCTGCTCTCCACTGACATTGTTTACATGACCAATGTGAAATTTCCAGCTCTGCCTTTTTCCCTTTCTCTTTCTTTATCTGTTGTTCTGTTGCAATGAGCGTATTCCTAGGAACACAACCAGTTCCAGAAAGTCCCCTCCGTCTGTCCATTTATTTCTAGAGCATAGTGGGAGAGACGCTGGTCATGAAATATGTCGTAAAATGCAAAGCCACCAAGCAATAAATCGTGTTTTTTAGCAACCTTTCTGATTTTGGTCCCGGCCCAAGAGTGGGAATGTTGCGAGATAAAATAACTGTGGCTGAGTTTCACTCAGTCAGAAAGAAAATACTTTTTCCGCAGACATTCAGTTTCTAAGTCAGAGGTTTATTATTATATTTTATTATACAAATCCAACATGGCTGCCTCAAGATGTGCGACCGTTGCACAGATTTTCTTAAATTAATTTCAAAAACTCAAAAGTCTCACGTAAAGTAAATATGTCTATTGTTCATTAGGTTTTTACTTTCGAGCTACTGTGATTTTCTGTCATTACATGAAAGAAGCACGTCTGGGAAAAACAAAATTATTTCCCTGCAAGAATAATGAAAACACCCGAGTAAGTAAACGTTGAGTTAAAGTTCAAAGCATTCAAATGTGAGACCTTTAGCTCAAATTTGGATAAAATGATTCTAAAATGTGCAGTGATGTTATGGTTTCATCATCCAATTCAATCAAGTCTATGAAACCCAAACTGAGCGACAGACCTGATGGCCGGAGCTCGAGAAATGCGCCCAATAAACGTCCCGCTCCACGTTTTGACGAGCCTCACGTTAACGATGTGACGCGGTTCACAACCAAAGAAAGGCTTGAAACACTTAATGCAAGAAGCAACACTTTATTAAAGCCTCACATTAGAAACAAAAAACAATTCACAGCACAATTTCTCTCACCGAAGCTGCACTGATTTATTGCTACTGGGTGAGAGTTTCATGTTACAAAGCTATATATTTGCTACATACGGCGTTTGAATACCAAAAGTTATTTAAAAAAGTGAAATACGGAAACATCTAAAGAGTTAAAAGTATATATATGTATAAAAACAGTGGAGATAAGAAAATGATGTAATGGAACAGGTATGTAATATCATGGCTCAGGTATCAGCTGAATGGTCTGGAGGTGAGCAGAATAATCCTCATGGCTTCTTCTTGGGAGCGGCTTTCTGCCTCTGGTTCTGTCTCTCCAGGACGAACCGGACCAGCTTCTTCACCCAGGCGGACTGAGGGTTGAGACACACATTCTCCCCGCTCACCAGACCGGCTCTGATGGACAGAATAAGAGCATCGTTATCCTAATGTCAAACTCAGGAAGCAAATCCAAATATAGATATAAAGGCCACTCCAAATGATTGGAATGGGCGGAAAACACCTACATGGAGAAGAATTTACATCCACCTTATCTGCTCCACCATGCATCCAGTAGTTCTCAGAAAGCATTTGATTCATGCTGATTGTTTTATTTGATGAGATCTAACATCTCCAGGTCTGTGCGGATTTTCCGAGTGACTCAGTTTGATGGCCATTTTTAAACTTTCATAGTAATCTCGTGCAGACGGGAGACGTATTTCACAATCCTCGTGCACAATGAGGGCATGTTGTAACATTATTTTGAATAGTTGTGTTTCAAACAGACAGACCGCCACGTGAATCAGAGCTAATCTAACCAGCATGCTGTATTTGAGTCGGTGTTTATTTCATTTCATGTTATTTTATCGAGCACCAGTCCATATTGAATTACGAGTTTCCTGTCTGGCAAGGAAACGGATTCACCTCACTAATCGAATCTGCCTGCTGGTACAAGCAAAGTTGATTGATTGATTGATTGATTGATTGATTGATCTGATCAGACCTATGAACAACAGGTATGTTTTCCACACTTAAAAATAAACTCAGCTTTAAACATTTTTTTTCTCTTTTTATCTGTGGCATTCTACAGAAGCACGTATTTTAATGTCAAAAAATTTTTTAGTTAATAATTTGCGGCTTCCTGTTTCTGTAGGGAAGAAATGTGATGTGACACAGGCCCATTTCTGCTTTAAGTGGATAAGGACCGATATTTATCTGAGAATGGCAGAACATACAGCATCAACAAAGCTGCATAATAACCAGTAAAAGCTTTCTACAAACCTAACAGTTATTTAGGAATAAAGTAACATTAAAACATTAAAAACATTCTTTGGCCAATGTCAGTGAAGTTTTATAAAATAGCTTCTTCTTTGTCAAACCCAAAACAATATTTATTGCCTCTTCTAGCTGTAGCCAGATTTATGCTGCTGGAACTCAAGGAGGAACAATGAGGGAAGGAAGAAACTCCTCAAAGTTCAAGATTCCTAATTAGAGTTGCAATTAAGCATTGTCAGGTAAAACCAAGCATTTTTCTTATTCCCAATTCACTCACATGACTTCTGTTCGGGCGCAGTTGGGCCCCTCAGGGACCAGCTTGATGCTCCTCAGGTTCTCCGCTGGGATCATCCTGGACTCCACCTGCAGGCAGCTGCAGTGTGTGTTGAGATCCCTGCTTATGGGCGGCATTCCTGTCGGGCAGAAAACAGAGTTTCGGTAAAACACACTGACCTGCTGAGTCTTATTTCCATTCGTGAGCCAAACCTGACAGTGTTTGACAAACTACGGGTCCTGGGAGAGGTCATAGATCTCAACATCTTGTGAGACCTTGCAGAACTAAATGAAAAAAAATTGGCTAAAGAACCTTGAAAAATAATTGATGCCTCTAAATTCTTTTCACATTTTGGCATAGATAATACAAAATGTAAGGTGTTTTATTATTTATGTTAGTCCTAAAATAAAAGAGTAACACAAAAGTTGAAATAAAGTGATGCATGGTTTGGATTTTTCTTGAGCTCACAGTTACAGTCTCCCAGCTTTGCACATCTGCAGACATTTTTGCCTTTTCGGTTTTGCACAGTAGCTCAGGCTCAGTCAGACTGGATGGAAAGTGACAATTCCCAAGACTGGCTACAGCTTCTGCTTTGGATTTACTTCTGTACTTTGACTGGGTCATTTTCATATATGAATTCCATTTGATCTAGACCAGAACTTCTTCCTGTACATGTTTTTTTTTATTTTTCACAAATGAAGCTCTCCTTACTCCTCTTCCACAAACACCTTATCAACAGAGACCTTTCTGGTTGTAAAATGACAAAATGAGATTTAGACGCTGAGAGTTTGTTTTTCCTTCTGCTGCACGTCTAGTAGGATCTAAATAAACTCTCAATTTATAAATCAAATCTTGACATCTCCTGCTTTTCCCAGCATGTTTCATCACATCCAGCCGCTTGTGAAACTAAACTGCCCTGCTTCCTCTTCTGCTCCGCCAGCTGCCATCCTGATGTTTTACAACTCAAACATCGACATGTACAACGCAAGAAACACAGTTCCACGTTCCCCATACAGTTTTCTTCAGCAGGCGGAGCTGCGTGACGAAACCTGGCTCCACGAGAGCGGTTTCACACACACTCATGACGGGATGTGACTCAGAAGCACAAAAGGTCAGATTTGCACGAAGGTGATCTGAAGGTTGGAATGGAGTTTTATTTGAAATGATCTCTTTAATCGCAAAGACTTTATGTGAATTTTTTTTGTGTGCATAATTATTTCGAGCACATGAAATTCTTAATTTAGTGTTTGTAAACACTAAATTTCACAACCCAACAAACTTGAATTAAAATTGTCACCAACCACCTTTACTTAAAGAAAAAGCTTAAATATGCACAATGACTTTAAACCATTAATAATGGCATAAGTCATTTTCTGCCCACAAAAAAAAGAAAAAAGGTGACATAAAGTTTCCAATTCCTTGTTAAACTCCTAAACATTTTTCACGAAAGCATCAGGATGTTTCCATCTTGTGTCCTAAAAAGCACAATGTTTGTGAATATAAATACCTCTTCAAGTAGTTCATCTGACAATAACAAAACACTTCCAGCTGCTCGCTTTCCCCCTGAAAATCTTCCCTTTTCTGGACTTTGCGCCAGCGTTTCTGCGTCTCTTACCGTCAGTGAGCACCAGCAGGGCCGCCAGCACAAACACAATGCAGAGCTTCATCTTGTTCCACCGGCTGCTTGTTGAGATCCTTGCCAAAGAACAGAACAGAAGAAAACACTTGTCTACTGGAACCCTGCCCTGGTACTCCAATACTTATACGCACAGGGGGGGTCATGTGCTCATCTCCAAATCTGAACAGTACCCAGAGTGGTGCATGTGTGCGGTTTCACTTTGGTGAGTTCACATGTGCAACAGCAGGGAGTCATGGGACGGTGGGTTCAGGGAACGACCGAAGGCCCCGCTGAGGTCAGCGCTCGGCGCGGCTCTGACCCGCAGCCACAGAAATGAGTCAGACGGATTTAGCATGTTGTTGTTTGCGAACCGACAACAGCTCCTTTTCCTCTGATCTGCTTGTTGCGGATCTGCAGACGAATCCAGGCGCCCGCACAAGTCTATTTTCCAGAGGACGGCGTGATGGTCACAGTTTTGGTTTCTTCCAGTATTGCACAAATAGTACAGTAAACTACAGTGACCTTGCGGCTGCTTCTTTTTGTTGTTGCTGAATGGTTTTGTTTTTGATTTCATTGCATCGCTTCTTTCTTCAAGGTATTTTAACTAAATTAATTGACTTAAAATGAGGTTCATTCTGTTTCTCCAAACCTTTAAATGATGAAATTAGTGCAGCATGATCTGAAGTAGAGGTGGACAACATGGGCTTAGAATTTCATCGCAATATTTTGTGGTACTATTGTGACAACTATAAAGAATGTTATTTTTAAAACAAAAACTCTTTATTACTTATTTTTAGGAAATAATTAGTTTTGCAAGATGGTGACTGCATGGCAAAGCAAACACAGATATTGTTCTTGAAACATATTCACATTAGGTTCCTTCAGGACTCAATTTAGTTGATAAAATGTGATCGGTGCCACTAAACTGTCCACATTTAATATTGTAGGGTTTACTGGTGTTTATTGTTGCTTCTTGTGAAACAAAAAACAAAATGTAGCTGAAATCAGTTTTGATTTTGAGTCAGTTTTTATTAACACCAATAACTGAAACTTATTATGACAACAAAAAGTCAAAATTCTTATTTCTGATGAAAAATGTTTTCACAATAATTTGCAGACCATACCTACTTAGCCATCATAATCTAAAAGAGAAGATAAGAATGGAAACGAGAGAAGATAAAGTGAAGTGCAAAAAAAATCTTTAAATTTGATAGAATTAGATTAAGAGACCTGAGCTTTTTATAATTATTCAGCTGCAAAATTTGTGAACATGCTGCAATGTAGGAAGCATTTCCTACATTGTAATAAATGACAATGCATGGATAAAGAATTGTACTATAAATCAGCAAAGGGGTGAACTGACCCAAAGTCTCTCCTAGACATTACAGACCAGCAGAAGATTATACTAAATGATTTTTAGTCTGTCCAAGTTACTTTTTCCTTCCACAGAACATCCAAAATTGAAAAATCCCAACTTAAAGAGAGAGAAATAGTAAAGAAATCGATTGCTGCGCCTTGTGTGGCCTTCTTCTTGACCGTCCTCACAGAAATGACTCCATGGTTTGTCTCAGCGACGCTCTCTGATTATCTGTGAAAATAAATCTCAAAGGCCACCCAGGAGTCGGCATCCGGTGACAGCTGTGTAGTTGTGGCTTTTATTTCAGTCTGTGGTTCTTTGGCTTTAGCTTTAGCATTACTGTGATGATGGAGTGACGGACTGGTTTTAGGACGACTAAACTGGTAAACCGTCTGTAGTGGAAATGAAATACAGTTTGTGGAAATGTTTGGAAAGCAGCACAAATCAGATTACTAAGCAGTTTTGGCTGATGAACATCTCTCAGGTTACCTGATATTTTTCATTCGTTTTAAAGACTTTTAGAGGCTGTTCATCTGCTGGAGATGAGTTTTTAGGCATGCGACACGTTGTCATGTTGTCATCCACTTGTCTATTATCATGGGTTTTTTTTATTATTATTAACAGCATGCCGCCGTGGTCAGGTTTGAGGACTGGACTGAAAATCCCCTGAGTTGAGCTGCACGATATTGGAAAAATCCTGACATTTAATGTCTTTCTATCCTTGCGGGACATATTGAGATATATTGCTACATGAAAACAAAACAGAAAAATCCACCTGGCGTTATGCTGCACTCGTCACCCTGCACTCACCTCACCGCTTTCTGAGAATGTTACATATTATTGCAATATTGATAAATATTGCTATGAAAATACCAGTTACGTATTTGCCTATATTTCTTCTCTCCTCTGTGCTTCCATCACTCTGTGACCTCCAGCATTTTGGGCAACTGGCTACATGTTATATTGGTGTGAAAAGTGTAAGTTTATAACTCTTGGGATATATTAGCCAGCAGTTATTGGTCTCTAAACGGCCCTTTGTTTTAATATTGCCACTGTGATTGTGCAGCTCTACCCTAAATATACAACCCCAATGTGAAGCACGGTGGTGGCAGCATCATGCTGTGTTCTTCATCTGGACACCCGTGGAACTGTGGAGCAAGTTTGAAGATAAAATGTCTGCAAGCATCGTTTATATATATAAATAGAAGACACAGACATAGTCTTACTCTTATTTATATAAAAATTAAGTATTTATCACAGACACAGACATTTTCATTTGAGGACGATCCTGTCGACAGACAGACAGAGGGATAAATCTCCAGACAGAGAAACCACGTCCAGCCTCAGGGTAAAGTTTGTTGTGAACGCCGCGGTTTCACCTAAGCAGCGTCGCTCCCTCATGATTACCAGCACGTGTCCTTTGGGTCAAAAAGGAGGAACCAAAGTGGGTCACTAAAAATAAAACAACATGATGATAATAAAAAAAATTTAAAAAAAAAACTCCTCAACACCACATGACTGCGAGGAATCAAAACGATGTATCACAGGATGACTCAGCAAAATCACTGACCACATTCTGAAAAAGAAAATAAGATTTTAATGTCCGTGCTTCACTGCACTAATAAACCAAACTGATTTATTACCAATTAATCTGCGACTTGTCTAAACTGAACCAACGTGGATGATGAAATCAAATAAGATGTCAGAGATTAATCGTAATTCATCTCCTTTGGAAAAGCAGAATCTTGAATTGAAGATGTTGACACTTTGGGCCCTCAGGTTCTCTGTGACGTCAGTCGGGATCTGGCGGCTGTCGTGGAAGAGCCGGTTCTTTTGAGGTGGAGAAATCAACGTGTTTCCATCCACTGCTCAGGTGAGGCCCTGACTCTCCGACGTCAAAACCTGCCGTCACGCTTTCATCATTTTCCACTCGATTGACTGCAATACTCCTTGGGCTTGTCAAAATTAAACGGTTCAGATGTGACAAGTCTTTACTGGTTTCCCCATTTTTGAAGGGGCAGCAGCTGCGTTTCCGCTGAAACTATAAAGGCACAAATATGAATAAAAATAATAATAAACTACTCAATGAAAGCACTGTGATTTTGACAAAAAAAAAACAAAACGTTTTTCGATGAAACGTATTTGCGCTAGCACGTGTCAAAATTTGCAAAACTGCAATGGAAACGTTTTTTTTTTTTTTTTGTGCCACATGTGTCACGTGATCAGCAACCGGATGTTACCACCGGGGGAAAAGACAAAGAAGACGACAGGAAGTTGTAGAAGTGTGATGATACGCAGCATGTCTTTGAACGACTTATCGCCTGAACAAACTCACTCGCATGTGATTTTTAATTGTGTTTCTTATTTAATGGAAACAATATGTTTACTGGTAATTAAAGACATTGACAAAACAATTGTTGAAAACGTGTTAGTTGGCCTTTTGTTTTGGCTATGCCAAACCTTTGCACTCAGCTTAAATCTAGAAACAGATTCTCACAGAAAGGCGCACATTTTCTCAAACACGCAACAGTCATCAATTTCTCAGTTCATGTGAGTTCAGATAAGTGTACTTGATTGCTCAGTGATGTTGCAATGATAATGTGAGTGAGCCTTTATGGTTTATCATTAGAAAACTGCTGCAGGGTGATAATTATAGCAGTAGTTATTCTGCTTGGCCTGTTTTTCTTTTTTCTTGTTTTTTGCAAAAACAGCTTGTCTGCTCTATATTGTGCACAAGTAGTTTTAATCTCACTCTAATATTTTGTGCTTTGGTAGCTGATGATTTTAAATGTTCAGCCTACTGCTCTGGTTTCAAATATTTCAACTTCATTTGGTACAAGAGTCCGGAAAACGTCTCAGATCCTGCAGGAGTTTTCAAATTTTTCATATCAGAGCAACCCAGGCCGTCCAAAATCAAAATCTTTCAAATGTACAACAGGAATGTGGGTTTATCTGAAAAATAAAATGAAGCAGGTTGTTCCATCAGGCTCCAATTATTCAATTATTCTTTTAAAATAGATTCAAAAACAAAAAGGGAAGACAGATAACCGAGCCCATACTTTAGAGGTTTGCAGAGGTTTGATGCACCTCTGCAGCAGAAACTAAAATATGGATCTCAGAAATATCTTTCCCAGACTGGTTTTCATTTTTTCATTTTTTTTTCAACAAGCATTTATTTCTAGGTCCGTGCGTTCAGATTTAGAAATCTCTGTTCATTTCTTACTCTTCACTACAACACCAACGCATCCATTCTCAGTTTTCTCTGCTTTGCTTTTGTTCAAGCAACGTTTTTTTTATGTTCGTCTGCAGAAAAATGGACAAATCCGACATCACAGGGAACGTTTTGCAGTTTCCAGAACTTCTGCTGCATCAAAGACGACTTGGCACATCGTCCGTTCCCAGAGACACGGCGACGCCTGTGAGAGCCTGTAGCTTCAGCTCTCTGCCGGCTTTCTTCTCACATTTCTGATGTTGCTGCTGAACTCTGTTCAGGGCACTCTGGGGTTTGCACTCTGTCTCTGCAGGTGAGTTTGTAATAATACAAGCTATGAATTAATGCAGACAAACTGCCAAGAAGACAATTTTTGTGTTTCTATCAATTGTTTATTATAACATATGTTTCTATCTCTGGCATCATATAGAAATGAATTGGAATAAAAAAAATATAATAATAACATGCATATTTAAATACTTCAAATTATACAGATAATTGCTGACAATAAACAACTGTTGCTCATAAATTACATCCATGAATTGAATTATCCGCTAATTAAATTATATCACATCAAAATACATTACACAAAGGAACTGACAGATTTGAAAGTCAAATTGGGCCAAGACTTCATGACAACTAAAACTTGTCTTTTCTCTGTTTCAGGTCTTTGCTGAGTTAATATTCTTAATGTGGTGCAACTCTGCAAACAAATTACAGAGATGTTGCTGCTGTTTCTGTTTCTGTTGCTGCTACTGATGTTGATGTTGCTGCTGTTTCTGTTTCTGTTGCTGCTACTGATGTTGATGTTGCTGCTGTTTCTGTTTCTGTTGCTGCTACTGATGTTGATGTTGCTGCTGTTTCTGTTTCTGCTGCTGCTACTGATGTTGCTGCTACTGATGTTGATGTTGCTGCTGTTTCTGTTTCTGTTGCTGCTACTGATGTTGCTGCTACTGATGTTGATGTTGCTGCTGTTTCTGTTTCTGTTGCTGCTACTGATGTTGCTGCTGCTGTTGTTTCTGTTGCTGCTACTGATGTTGATGTTGCTGCTGTTTTCTGCTGCTGCTACTGATGTTGATGTTGCTGCTGTTTCTGTTGCTGCTACTGATGTTGATGTTGCTGCTGTTTCTGTTGCTGCTACTGATGTTGATGTTGCTGCTGTTTCTGTTGCTGCTGCTGCTACTGATGTTTCTGCTGCTGCTGTTTCTGTTGCTGCTGCTGCTGCTACTGATGTTTCTGTTTCTGTTGCTGCTGCTGTTGACATTGTAGCTGCTGATGTTGGTGTTGCAGCAGGAGTTGTGGTTGCTGCAGTTGTTGTTGTTGCTACAGTAGTTGTGGTTGCTACAGTAGTTGTGGTTGCTGCAGTTGTTGTTGTTGCTACAGTAGTTGTGGTTGCTGCAGTAGTTGTTGTTGCAGTAGTTTCTTTTGTGTTGACACTGCTCGGCTTCTGAGTCTTTGTTTGCCTGTGAAGGAAACAGATCAGAGTCAACAATGTGCTTTTCTTTGCTCTTTTTTTCCCTTTTTTTTTTTTTTTACAAAACATTTAAAACAAAGAATCATGACAAATCAGTGATTTTACATTAAGTTAAAAATAGCGTTTTATCTCAGATATGTCTGTTTTTGCACGCTGGCGTTTATGCCTGTCTAAAGTGCAGAGCATCATAGAGACGCTACCATGCTACTAAAACAACTATATAAAATATAATATAAATATAAAAACAATTCCACTTACATTTCTTTAGCTTTCAGTGATCTGATGAGGTCTTGAGCCTGATGTCCCTCAGGGTCAAGACAGAGCCGGGTTGCATTTTTCAGGATGACACTGCAAGAGACGGAAAAACATTTCAATGAAACAAATTCAATCAACGCTCAGCAGTCACTCTAATCATCATTTGCTCTTGAAGATACTTACATCACTTGCTGTTGGCTGCAGGTCGGACCAGGTTTATGCACTATCACATCAGCGATGAGATGGCGCCGTACTGCAGAAATCGTTTTTATGCACTGGCACTTCATAATACCTGGAGAACAAATGGCAGCATAAATTAAGCTGTGGTTTTGATTAGGAATAGTTTCAATCACAGAATTGTTTTGCACACTTACTGGCTGAGGAGCAGAAGGCGACGCAGGCCAGAAGAACGATGCACTGGATCCCGGAGTTCATCCTTGCTTCAGCTTGTGAAGATCAGTCGTTTCTCCTGCAGTGACTTGGCTCCTCTTTGAGGTGAAGCGTTCTGCACTCCTGAGCCATCGGCTTCTCCTTTTATACACTCAGACTGGGGTGAAAACCAACCAGGTGAGTCTTCTTAGGAACTGAACTAAAAAAAGACCTTCCCAACTTTCACTGGCCCCGCGTCATTTTCCTCCGAATCCGGAGGAGCAGACTTCCAGCACGTCACAAAACGTGTTGGAACTCGGCCGCCTTGGAAGCATTTTCTCTGCGGGTGTTGAAAACCAGCAGAGCAACTTCTGCAGGCTGGAGAAGACAGATAACTGTGGTGGCTGGAAATATTTGTATTGGCACTGATTCAGTTGTAAACAACTATTAATCTGTTTGTTTGACAAAGTCGAGGTATTTTTCTGAAGAATTAATCAGGGAACTAGACCAAAACCGAGACTCTGTCAGATTTTCTAGCTGACCTGAACTGACCTCTTTCTTTAATTCTGCGCCTCTGGGACTCTGGCCAACTCCCACCAGATGAGTCACGATTTTCCTCAACCTTATCAGAGACTGAGACGCGGAATCCAGATAACGGCAGCGCTTTCTGTGAATGGAGATGAGCTGCAACCCGTCGCAGCTGGAAAGCAGCCAAGGACTCAGTCATTTCAGTGTCACTGCAGCAGAAGTAAATATAAAAACGGATTTCATGGTCACTTTATTCAACCTCATGCTTATCATTCTTTCCCAATTTATTTATTTATTACAGCAAGAGCAACAAGAGAACTGATGAAGATCCATGACGGATTCGAAAATATCTTAGTCAGGTACTAATTATTAGATACCAAGGTACTAGTGTGTGTGCATGTGTTTGTGTTTAACTATTTTTTTGTAAATGAAGAGGATTCACACCATTATTCTAAAACAGACCACCCACTGGCTGCATTGATGATATTCTGAATGTTTAACCCTGCAGAGGAACTGTGCGTCGGTAGCTGAACTATTAAAATCACACACATTTGACCATTTTTAGAAACATGAATGTTTGATTAAGATAAACAATCAAGCAGATCTGGAAAAAATTAAGAGACGACTGAAAATGATCAATGTCTCTGATTTGACTCTTTATAGGTTTATGTTTGAGTAAAGTGAACATTGTTCTTTTATCCTATGAACTACTGACAACATGTCTGAGAAGTTACAGGCAAAAATTTAGTATTTATTTGAAGAAAACAAGAAATGGTCAAAATAACAAAAAACTTGCAGCTTTCAGACCTTAGATAACAAAGAAAATAAGTTTATATTCATTTAGAAACAGTAATACTAATGTTTTAACTCAGGCAGAGCTCAGAAATCAGTGTTTGGTGAAACAACCAGGAGGTTTTCAAATGGGTTCAGCTCTTCATTTTTTCCAGAGCTGGATCCAAGTCCAGACTTTGACTAGACCAACATGACAAAAGAACATGTTAAAGCATCCTATGAAACAAATAAAGCAAAACTAATGATAACTTAGCACAAACAATAAGTGACAAAATTAACTAATTGAGATAAGCTGGAAACAACAAAGTCTCCCCCCTTCAGTCTTCCAGAAAAGCAAATGGTTCGCTCCAGTTTTCCTCCTCCAGCTGGTTTATATCAGCAGCACCTCAAACAAAACACAAGTGTAAGTAAATCATTGAGTCAGACATTAACTAAAGTGTCGACCCATTAGAAAATATATGTCTAAATGAAATAACTAACTTGGACTGTAAGCTGTAACTAATATGAAGAAAACAAATAATTACTAACACGATGTGTTAAGGGTGACTGTGGTTGAATGGCAGAGCAGTCGTCGTGCACTCGGAAAGTTGTAGGTTCGATTCCAGCTTCCTCCTGCCACATGTCGATGTGCCTCTGGGCAAGGCACTTAACCCCAAATTGCCTACTGGTCTGCGGAAGAGAATTTGGTGTATAAATGTGTGAATGTGACTCTAGCGTAAAGCTCTCCGAAAAGCTAAATAAGTTCAGTCCATTCATCATATGTGGAGGTAGGAGCATCCACCACACACACCACAAAGGTAATAATGGGTCAAAGCTTGTTTAGCTGCTCCGGAGTGAAGGTGAGTGGGATATTTGGAGGTTACAGGTTGTAGGTGAGTCACAGCAGGACCAGACATTATAGTTTTGAGCGATTCTCTTTGTACGTGCGTTGACAAATCGAGGCAATTTCCTCCACCGTGTCTTTCAATAGATACCAGATAAGCCTTCAACTGCAAGTAATGTTTCTGTACAGAGCAATAAAAAGACAGAAGTGCTGTGTTTACACATGGATATTTATTTAAGTTAAGCAAATTTGTAAATATTTATGTATTTACATCCTTCAAAACTAAATGTGCATATCAAACAAAGTAAAAATCCACAGATTTTTGTGAAAGTCACATTTTGCAGATTAACCGGGAATTCAGTCCTAAAAGAGATCCTCTAATCTTTAACGACACTGATTTCAGACAGACGACGTTGCTGTTGCTGCTGATTGTGTTGCAGCTGCAGTTGTTGTTGTTCTTGTTGTTGTTCTTGTTGTTGTTGTTGACACTTTCTTCTTGCTCCTGTTAAGACAACAAGCCAAATGTAAACATTTTGAAACCACCACTGTTAATGCTTCTAAAAAAACGATCTGAATTTGTTTTACTTATTTAACACGCTACAACATGTTAGGTTAGAGCCTAAAATGATGAAATTGTCAATTATCTTCTCCAAGAGAATATTTAGGAACCAACTGTTTAGGCCTCTGTTAGTGGTAGAAATAACTGAATTCTTTAGATTTGATTCCTGTTGACTGAATCACTTCAGCTACTTCGGCTGCTACTAAACATCAGTTTTATATTTTATGTAAAACTGAACTGAAAGGTGTTTTAAAAGAACTACTTTTTCCACTTACATTTCTTTTTTTAGCAGGTTTTGGGTGAAACTTGACTTCAGGTCGAGACAGATCTCTTTATTATCGTTCCGGACGACTCTGCAATAACAGAATAATAAATTGGTTTTTAGTTTTCAGTGTTGTTTCTCACCATTTTGCCAATTTTTTTTTTCTGCAGGGACTTACATCACTTCGCGGTTCTTGCAGGCCTGATTGGGTTCAAGCACCTTCACTTCTTTGATGAATTCACATCTTACTGCTGTGACCGTCTTTATGCATCGGCATCTCATGATAGCTGGGGAGAAATGATTACAGCGTAAGTAAAGAAGGTAGTTTGTACCCAATAAAACGACAAAAAGAAAATCTTTGTCCAGCACACTTACGTCCTGCTGAGGTGCAGAGGAAGATGCAGGCCAGAAGAACGATGAGCTGGACAGCAGACGTCATGTTTGTCTCAGATGATAAAAATGAGTGAAACTGGTCTCTCCTCTCCAGACTGAAGGACTTCTCCTCTCTGTGAGTTTTGCTGTCTGACTCTGGAGTGCCATGAGCTTCACCTTTTATACACTCACAGTTGCAAAAAACAGGCTTCCTCAGAAGTGAAAATGAAAATCTAAAACTCCTTCCCCCTCTAACTCATCCGTCCGTTTTCTCCAGAAACAGGAGGAGCTCCCATTTCCTTTTAAGGATTTCTGTGCAGAGGGGAATCCGTGCTTCACAGGGAAACAAGCTGAGTGACCTCAGGTTGCACCCGGCATTCATGCTGCTGCAGGAACCAATGTTTAATTGTTTAAGTCAGAAACCCTTCACTGACACGGATTCATTTTAGAGTTGTACAGTCTGTCTGATATCATAGTTATGTATTCTGCATTCCTTTAGTTTAATACTTTTATTTAAAGTTACGGTTGTCTATTCATTTTCCTCCAGCACTGATCTTTCTGATCTTTCAATGTACAGCCAAGAATTTGAAGCATCACTTCACTGCTTTGCTCTTCAAATGAATCTATTTTACAGGTCCTGATGGTTCAGGTGTGTATTTTTTTTAACAAATAAAAACTTCTGATATCCCAAATAAAATGGTGCAGTCTTCATCCCTCCCCACTAATCTCCATTTTATGATTATGTACGTTTGCTCAAGTCTCTGATGTTCCTTTGTCTTTTCTTTTTACGTGGAAAGTACTCCTAAATAATGATGGTTTTCTTAAATGTTTTCCTGGAAAGGTTCACTGGAGTAATTTCTGTCATTAACTGTGAAATATTTTGAATTTCCCACACAAAGCCACTTCCAGGCTGGTGTTTCTGAGTCTGTCTCTGTCTTTAAAGTTTCCATTTCAAATGTGTGCAAAATCTGGTTTAAATGAAGCAGATTTGAACCGAATGAGATTTTCTACACTAATTGTTCATGTTGGCATTTGTTGATAAATGGGGTAATGTAAATTACTAAATTGATAAATTGATTGTGAATTGTGTCACATGTCAGAGCGCTTTAATTCATCTGAAATAATAGAGGAAGACAGAAATGGGTTGGAAAGGATCTGATTCCTTTTTTAGATATTTTTTGTATTGTTTACTTCTTTTTAGCTCTTCTTCCACTTTCTTTAAAAAGTCTATTTTGCTGTGAACACAACAGTCACATAAAACAAGTCAACGTTTTGCTGCAATTGTTTTGTCAACGGTGGGCTTAAGGTATGTAGTAAGGGGTTAATTTAGTTGTTTGTTTTTTTTTCATACTTCCAGCTCAACGTTCGCCACCGACTCAACAACATCAAATACTGATGCCGTTGAGACGAGACAAGTCAACGTGAAATCCAACAGCTTTGAGTGGCAGCGTGTCGTAATGCAGCTGGGAAGCATCCAACTCACGGTGACAGTTTGACCTGTTGACAGATCCACAGAGAAGAATGTTGATCACTTTCCTCTGATGGCGGTGAACATAAAACACCAAACTCTTTTTTTTTTAAAATGAAAACACTTTAGTGTAAAATCGCTTGGTTCGCATGCGAGTGAGTGAGTGAGTTTCAGAGCACTGACAGAAGCTTCACAATTTCAATTAACTTGGAAGCCAATTTAAAAAATCACTGCCTTATCCAGTGCAATTAAAAGTGCTTTATTTGTGTGAACACAGATGATTAAAGGAGGGGATGAACTCACTGAACAAGGTGTTTTCATTCTCATCTCTTCCCCCTCCTCTTGACTTAAATTCATACTTAAATTCATGATGGAGGGAGATTCATATCTCAGGCTGTGATATCGGTGAGATAATAACCTCAGCCAAGAGGAAGAGGCTGTGCTGGACGCCTGCCAGCATTCCTGCTTTTCCAATGCGAAACCCGAACCCACGAATGAAACCGGAACAAGTTTCCAAAAGCTTGGAAATGGTATAATTTGGTGGTTAGATGAAAATGCAGTTTCTTTTCTGCGCCATGCCTTGACTTTGTTTGATTTGGTCACTTTGTGCTGGGATTTTTTTTGACTCATTTCACATTAAAGCTGTTTTCTCATCGTCTCAATAATCAGTGTCACATTTGAACAGAATCACTAAAAACAAAAAATACATGGCATTTTTTATTGTGTCATTGCTCTGAAAAGCGTTGTATTCCTATGAGCGTGTCAGCTGCAGATTATCTTAACAATAGGCACGACTTATATTTCCAAACAGCCAAATTAGTGTTTTCTGAAAGTGTGATAACTGGATAAATATCCCACGCTCTTTCTGACATCTTCACCCGTTGCACATCTTCCTGGGTTGTGCATCGGCGTCGGATTTATTAGGGCCTCAATCAGTGACTCTAATGTCAGTTATTCGCATTTGAAAGTCATTATTCCTTTATTACATCATTTCGCTCCCCGGGTCGCAGCTTGCAACAAATGTAATGGCCAGCTCTTTTAGTTCTCCTTTTGCGCTGACTTCTTTGGAAAGAAGAAACGGTGATTCCTCAAAGTAAAAAGAGAAGACACGCCAATTAAAAGGTCTTAAATGGGATTCTTGATTCCAGATAATGTGAAGCTCAGAGGAAAAATGGGTCATGCAGGTATGAAGCCTAGAAAAGGGATTTTTTTTATTCTGCTACTTTTGCTGCTTTCAGCATTTCAGCTTCTTTAAGATGACTTAAGGACTTTTCTTTCCTCCTGAGGGGCTGAATATGATTGAATCAGATGGTTGATTCAATACAATTGAATATAATTCACATGTGTATTTACGTTACTCGGTCTAAATATTTTAAGATAGAAATAACTGTATGCTTTTTAAGTGAATGTTTGATATTCAGTTCAAAACTCACAAACGACTCAAATACTCAAATGTATCACTGTGAGTTTAGCAAAGAATAAACTCATGGGAGGACAAGCCCCTACATGGGATGTACCACCAGCAAATAACCCAAGTGGCTGATATCAGTAAATCCTACCAATGGCTGGAAAAAGCTGGACTCAAGGACAGCACAGAGGCCCTCATCCTGACCGCCCAGGAACAGGCCCTAAACACCAGAGCAATAGAGGCCCAGATCTACCACACCAGACAAGAACCAAGGTGTAGGTTGTGCAAGGAGGCCCCTGAGACAGTCCAACACATCACAGCAGGGTGCAAGATACTGGCAGGGAAAGCGTACATGGAACGACATAACCAAGTGGGCCTGGAAGGTGAAGACCACAGTGGTGCCTGTGGTCATCGCACTAACCGCACTTTCTGTGAACTGCCTTCCTTGATGCATAACCATGGCATGATAGTGGAAGACAAGCAACTTTGACACATGATGTTTGCTTGGGAGAATGACTGGATTCTTGGATACTGCATCCAATGAAGCATGAAGGTGACCTCCAACTTTCATGAGGCCTTCATCCATGTAGGGGTCAAAAGTTACAATGGAGCTTGAGCTGTGAAGCTCCATCGTAACGTGGAGAGAAGTGTACTCTTCAGGAAAAGCATCCTTCTGAAAAGACTTGAGAATGAGATTACTGGCAACATTCAGCTCCTCTGGAGAGAGTGGCTGTCTACATTCATGCCAGCCCTTGATGAAGGGTTTGACACATTGCTTGATGAATGAGAATGAGCTTGGTGAATTAAGGCACCAATGGCTCGGACGTGGGGCTCCAGGTTACAGTTCCAAGGACCCAGCCGGGTCCCTGGGAGTACCTGGACCCCCCCTGCCTGGTGCGAGATGCCTGGATCATGGCAGGTCGGAAACAAGACTGTCAAACTGGTGTGGGGTTAAGGCAGGTTTTAAATGGCATTTCTCTGGATATAATTGAGATGGAGGCTCCGTTTAGGTTAATTTTGCAAAGGCTTTCCAGATGTAAATTCCCCCCGCAATTAGCAAACCTACCCCTAAAGCTGTACCAATGCCTATTGTGACATTCTTTAGGAATTTGCTCTCTTCTTTTTTCTTATCTTGCGTTGCTTTCATTTCTGCCTCTTTTTGGATTTCCTTCACCTCCTTTGGTTTCGCCGTTTGTGACTTTTTCAGGATTTCCTTCACCTCCTTTGGTTTCGCCATCTGTGACTCTTTCTTGAGTTGTGTCCATGATCTCCACTGCTCTATCAACTCTTGATTTTAAATTTAAATTGGCCTCTTCCAGTAGTTTGTGAAGTAATTAAATTTTCTAACTTTCTATTTGTCCACACATATCAAGCTGATGTCCAGCTGTTGCAGTTTGTATATGTCCTCTGCTGCTCTCAAAAGTCTGGTTTTTATACATTCCATATGGAAATGGTCATCTGAAAGATGATTCTGAAGTCCTTGTGCTAAATTGTCAGCGGACATTATGTTTTGATCTTTCAAAATGTATCTTACTTCAAAGACGTTATCAATTAACTTATCCACATTTCTATTTATTTCCATGTCCTTTTGTTTCTCCATCTGTGATATTTTGGCAATGTCCATCTCCTCCTTTTGTCTCTCTGTCTCTGTGTTGTTCTTCAGTTTCATCACCTCCTTTCGTACGTCTTTTATCTGGTTGTCCAGCTTTTGCAATTTGTGCACGGCCTTCACTGCTCTGTTAAGTCTTGAATTCAAACTTAAATTGCCCTCTTCAAGTAATTCCTGTAATATTTCAATTTTTCTAATTGAATATTTGTCCATCAAGCTGATGTCCAACTGTTGCAGTTTGTCTATGTCCTCTGTTGCTCTCCAAAGTCTTGCAGCTGATGTTAAAATGGTCATCTGTAAGAAGATCCTCAAGTCCTTGAACTATATCATCATCAGCAGACATTACGTTTCGATCTTTCAAAATTAATCTTATTTCATTGACGTCATCATTTAACTTATTCAACTGTGTATTAATTTCCCTCGAGAACTCAGAGTTTTTCTTCATTTCTGTCATAGTCAGTTCGTTTAAACACAAGCCTGGAATGTTTGAACTCTTCACTGTCTAAATGTGTCTTTTGATGAACTTATATTCAAGAATGCAGAGTTGTGATGTAATGCAGAAAGTTTTGTCCAAGAGCTCCATCTTTTCTGTCCCCTTTCGTTTCTCTGCTCTCTGAAAAATATCTGGTTCACTCTCATTAGCGTCCAGAAGGTGGCGCTGTGCTCTGGAAAGCATTACTACGCCCTGCTGAAGCAGAGAGAGACGTCAGCAGCCGGCCAGAAGGTGGCGCTGGTCCGTGTGGAGGACCACACACACACACACACACACACACACACACACACACACACACACACACACACACACACACACCCACACACACCCACACACCCACACACACACCACACACACACACACACACACACACACACACAATTTGCCTTAAAGCCTTCTGGGTGGCAGCAGCTGCAGAGTTTTTCTGCAACAGGAAGTCCTCTCTGCTTTGTATTGGTGTCACTTTTTAAAGTTGCTCTGCACAATATTGTATTTATTGTACATAACTATACCGCCAGCAACCAGAACCATTGATGCAAGGCAGGATGGATCCATTTTTTTATGACTTTTACACTAAATCAAACTCACAGTCTCCTCTCCATCGTCTCTTTGCGTTACTTGTCCAAGTTAGACCCTCTGTTCTTTTACAGTTTTTAAATCCAGTATCAACTGACAAGATACCAAGTTTATGTTGTATTTTTTTTTATTTTTGTTAAGTTTTAATCTTTACTCATCAGCAGCTGGACAGGAAGAAGTCAGAGAAAGAAGATGACGACATGCAGAAAATAGTTTGGGAATCAAACCTCATCAGAGCCTTAATCAGTGTCTGTAAAATAATTCATTTATATTGGTGTAAAATGGTGTAAAATAACTGTTTACACCATTTCTCCCTCAAAAGCACAGCTTATTGAATAGTCAGCTCCTTTAGTTCTCTTTTTGTGGGGACTTCTTCAAAAAGCAGAACTGTGGTTCCTCGAAAAAAATGTGAGTCTTACAAACAACAGAGTTCTTGCACTTGATCCCAGATACTGAGAAGCTCGTTTTAACAAGAATAAAAACATGTTTTATATAAAGGGGAGTAAAGGGATTCTCCAGAATGTCTGGCGTTCTTTTCTGACCTGTTCAGATGTTGCCAAACCAGAGCTGTTCAGGTGAAGCTCTGACCAAAATGCCTGATTTAAAAACCAAAGTGAGCTCAGTTTCCTCTGGTTAGGATGATCAATAATCATCAATTTTGTTTTTATTCCTCCGCTCCGCTCATCACCTTTGAATTTGAGGACAATTTAGAGACCAAATAACCTAAAGGTCCTGTTTCTAGGCAGCAAGAAGAAGCCAGAGTGAGAATCAACACCATGCACGGCGAGAACATGCAAACTCCATGCAGACACAACTGCAAAAGATTCATTTTGAGAACATTTTAAAGTTGCGTGTAACCTGTCATCTGACTACTGATTTTAAAGTGAATGGTCTCACCTGAGGCTCATCATTAACATCCTAAGAGCAGAACAGTTCAGTGTGCGATCCCCCCAGTTTTCTAGCCGTGGAACAGAAACTAGTCTGTCAGTGTGAGCAGCTGTTCGTTTTATCTGAGTTGTCAATGAGAAGCATGTAGAATCTCTCCAGCTTCAGGCGGCCTGGATGTGTATTATTCTGAACGGTTCTTCAGTTCTTTTCATGATTATCTCTTGTAAATCTGTGCCCTTCGGTCTCGTTTCTCTGTTTTTCTATTTTAACACTCACTGCGTTTCTAGAGGTGTAAACAAGTGTTGAGATGAACTGACCCAATAAAGTCAAATCAACGACTCTGTGTGTGTTGGAAAGTCAATGAGACGAAGTAGAAGCTGTAAGTTGCTGCTTTAAGCTTGAACAGCAGCCATTAATGTAATGCAAAATACAACCACACCACAAAGATGACATGTTTTTTAATGCAATTGAAGCATTTAATTACAACACAGTGGATACAGGATAACTTTCTGTAATATGATTTCAGTCTTAAAAGTAAAAGAATGGCAGCAAAATGTGACAGATGCATGAAATTTAGCAGTGCATAAAGAAGAATGGTTCAAACATATTGTCTGTTCATTGGATTATACTAAATGAACATGAATAAGCCCGCCAACTACCTTAGGCCAGTTCTATGATATTACATCATTTATGGCAGAAGAGAGGAATTGGGCAATCCTGGTAGAGTTGGCAGTGGGTTCCTGTGAAGAAAGCGAAGGGGGCAATTAGAAAAAGCTGCTGCAGCTGCAAGTTAACTTTGTAGTTTCATGTTAAGCTTAAATGAAAAACAAGCTAAAATAATTACTTTTCCACATGAATTGCCATAACTTGCAAGAGTCTTTTGGTGAAACTTGACTCCGGGTCAAGACAGCGCTCACTCTTATCTTTCATGACGGCTCTGCAATAGAAGAATGGTAAATAATCAGTGCTCTTCAGTTTTGTTTTTGATCGTTTTGACAAATTGTTTCTGCGGATGCTTACATCACTTCGCGCTTGTGGCAGGCAGGATGGGGTTCATACACACGTACATCCATGACGAGAGACAGCCTCACTACTGACATTGATTTGATGCAACGGCAGCGAACAACACCTGGACAGGGTGAGAAAAGCCATTTATTGTCTAAATTGATGATCTGACTAAATACCATAGTTGCCCTGCAAAAACGAACTGTCTCTAATTTATGGTGAAATATTGGCAGCTGTGTGTTACCAGCATTTTACTTTATAAATACAGACTTTCATAAGGTAAAATTCAGTCGACAACTGCCAATATTTTTACAATAACTTAGAGATGTTTTTTTTTTTTGCAGTGTAATGATTTTTAAAAATGTTATTAATTATTGCATATGGAAATTCTTTGCACAGTACACTTACTCTGTGAGGTGCAGATAGTAATGCAGGCCAGAAGAACGACGCCCTGGATCGCAGACTTCATGTTTGTCTCAGATGGAGCAACAATAAAGTTTTTTGCAGTGATTCTCTCCGGCTCAGTGTGGAAGCGATCTGACTGCGAAATACCGTCCCCTTCACATTTTATGCACACATGGATGCCACAAATGATTCTGCTCCGTTCTGAACCAGTTGGAGCGTCCCACTCCCTTTTATGGACTTCCTGCCCTGGAGGAAAAAACTCCTTCAGTGAAGAACGGAGAAGCTTTTTGATTTGACAGACAGCCATCACTGATGAGGCACAAAGAGGTTTCGTACCAGCAAAGCCTGGTGTGGCCCCTGCTTCGCAGCTGAAAACTTAAGTTTCTCCATCATCTGCTCAGAGTTTACTGTAAATAAATGAGGTCATGTGATTCCAAGGTGGTTATTTGTTTTGATCGAAACATTTGAGACTTTAAATATTTATTTTTTAAAAGCATTTTGTACATTCTGAAAATGGATGTTTTTATACATATTATTATTATTTTGAGTGAAATCACGTTTTACTTTCCTGAGATTTTAGAATTTATTTTATTTTTTTTTTATTTGTTTCGATCAGGACTCTTGAGTTTCTCATGTTTCAATAAACTCGACAGATCCAGAGGCTTCAAAACTTTATCACAAAGTCTTCAGAAAACAACGGAAAGCTAAATAAAGTTGGCGTTTGTTCTGTTGGCATAATCAACCTTGATTAAATATAAAAGAGGTCTGAGATACAGCAGCAATGCCAATGTAGGTATAAAGTGGAGACTCAGATTTACTATGAAATCATTTGCTGCCGGCAATTAAAAGCATAAAGTGAAAGCAGAATGGAGCAGTGTTTATTTGGTTTTGTATTTATTGCAATTTAACCATCAACAGCAGGTGGTTTTTATGTACAGTGCAATAAAAGACAAAAAGACACATGTATTTGAAATAAACTAAATTATGAAAACATATATAAGTCTGCATCTTCCCAAAGGGAATGAGGCAAAGCTTTTCTTGTACATTAAAGTACAATCTGACAGATATTTTGGAAAAGTCACAGTTTGCTGATTTTACAAGCCTGTTGTTTCCTGAAATAAATATTTTAGTTTTAGCTGCTGGTGCAAATGTTTGTAGACCTAAATAAAGTCAAACCAACACAAACAGAGTGAATAGCAGCTTCAGTGTCGATCCCTTGTGGCAGACGGTGATGTTGTTGTTGATGTTGATGTTGTTGTTGTTGTTTTTGTCGAGAGTGTCTCTGCTGTCCTCTGCCTGTGAAGGAGACAAATATTTTTAAACCGTTTGTGTTTCTTTAAAAATGGTCTGAATAAGGTTTTTGCTCGATAAAGGAAATTCTGTAGTCGCAAAAAGAAAAATATCAACAGTTATACGTTTTTGTGATTCCTGTTGACTGATGCCACCAAATAACTATTTAAACTTTTATGTAAAAGTGGAAAAACAAAACATTGTAAACTTTTCCCACTTACAGTCCTCTTTCCTGCAGGAGATTTTTGATGAAATCTGACTCCGGATCAAGACAGCGTTTACTCTTGTCGTTCATGAAGGCTCTGCAATAACAGAGGAGTAAATTAGTTCTCAGCCTTCAGTGTCGTTTCTGATTATTTTGTAAATTTTTTCCCTCTGGTACTCACATCACTTCTTGCTTGTTGCAAAACGGACTCGGTTCAAACACCTTCACATCAGCGATGAGAGGGCGCCGTACAGTCGAGATGGTCTTTATACAATGGCATTTCGTAATAATAGCTGGGGAGAAATTATTGCAGAGTAAGATAGGAAAAAAGTTCATACCCAATAAAACAAACAAAAAAATCTTTTTACAGCAAACTTACGATTTCCTGACATGCAGTGGAAGATGCAGGCCAGAAGAACGATGAGCTGGACAGCAGACGTCATGTTTGTCTCAGATGATGAAAATGAATGAAATTGGTCTCTCCTCTCCAGACTGAAGGATTTCTCCTCTCTGTGAGTTTTGCTGTCTGACTCTGGAGTGCCATGAGCTTCACCTTTTATACACTCACAGTTGCAAAAATAAGTCTTCCTAAGAACTTAGAAAAAAAAAATAACTTTCTGCTCTTTCACTTCCACTACTACGTAATCAACCTGATTTCTTCTGTAGGAGGAAATCCTTCTTCCTTTTATTTATTTCCTGTGCTGCATGGAATGACTCCTTCACTGTGAACTCAGGACACAGGCTTGAGATATGCTGGTATTGGAAACACCAGCTTCTGTGCAGCTGGACTTGCTGCTGATGAATGTCTGATAAGTCAGTAAATCCTCACAGTGCAAGTTTAAAACATTTTATTGTTGTATTTTACAGTCTTTCAGAAATCGGGGACATGCCTGACATGGTTACAGAAAATCTTCAAGAAAGTTTGTCATCATTCTTTGGTATATCAGGCAAACTGGATTTTGGAGGCAAAAAAAGAGGCGATAAAAGTGAGAAACATGTTAAACTGTGGATAAATCTAAATAGGAATTAACAGATTATCTTAACTAGTTCAGAGTTATTAAGTTCTTTGTTTCATTATTCATTAAATTCCAAACTTAAGCTGCAACTAAATTTAATTTAAGGACATTTTTACTTTATTTAAATACATGTTCTTTTAAGATTTTGGTCTGAAGTTTCATCAGCGTTTTAAAAAATTACTGAACTTAACTTTCAAGATGTTTTATTACCACTGCCTGATTGAAGTTTTGGCATCAACCCCCTAATTATTCCCCCACTTCATAGTGTTTTTTAGGTAAACTAGTGAGAATCAGGTCACCAGTTTATTAACCAGGCACAGAAGGAAACTAGAAAGTGTGCATTTCCTGCAAAAACGTAAGTGTGAATGTTGAATGCGTTTGTTGAAGATGCCAAAACGTTTGAAATCAACTGCTGAACACTTGCAAGAAATAGGCAGACGCACCAGAACAAATTATAATCTTGCAAAGTGCCTAAATGGGATTATTATGACAGAGAAACTGTTGAAGAGAAGTAAAAGCTTTTGAATAATGAAAAAATTCCACCTAAACAGTATTAGAAATTGCTTGAGAACAGTGGTTCCTAACCTAAACCGTATGGTCACCGCAGTTTATAAGGTAGAATTATATAAAAGTAGCTAAAATATTAATATTTGCATCTAGGCTTCCACTTGCATCTAGAGTTAGAGTAACATAATCTGTGCAATGTAAAAAAGTAATGTAAAACCTGGATTTTGAATGAGACAGAAACGTTCCCCTATTGCTTCTGATAAAAACGGTTTGAAATCCAAACCTTTTATGGTTCTTGAGATATCAACATTTGTTTGGAGGCATCGTTTACAAGGTGACTATAAAAACATGCCACATGCAGCACGAAGAAAACAACGTCAAAAGCTCAAATTATTCCGAGATGTTAAACGGCCTCCAAGTCCCTCTGAGTCAGGACCGACCTCTGACCCGGGACCGACCTCTGACTTGTGAGTTTCTCTTCTTCTGACCGTTCTCTATAAACCCAAGACATGATGGTATGTGAAAATCTGAGTAGAACCATTATTCATTAAATACTCTGACCAACCTGTCTGTCACCGATAGCTATGCTACGTCCAAAGTCACTTTAATCACTTTTCTTTCCCAATCTGATGCCTTGAACTTCATCAAGTCACCTGATGCCACTTGGCTTCATGTAGAGGATTCACTTCTTGGTGAATAAGGTTTTGTACCTAATGATCTGGCAGACTCATAAATGTAGTCTGTAGTGAAAGGGGTGATGGTTAAGGTTTGCAGCCAAGTACTTCTTGGAAATCCCTCTAATTGGGTTTCGGGGAAGTTACAGAGACAGGAATTTTCACATGACTAGATAACAGCCGATCAGTTACAGCTGGGAGACATTTTCATTCTCATCTGGTCTGAATCAGTCGTCAGATCAGATTTCAACCTTAGTATGTGTGTATTTATCTGCATTCATAGGAAAACTCACAATTCACCTTTTTGTCAGCAACAAGTTTGTCAAACAATTTATGTTTTTCTGCAAATAAAAATGAATACATGTTTATAGAATTTGGCCATTTAGATTTTTTTAATCTGGAAATTTGGCATTTTGTCAATCCAGAGGTTGATATCAAATTTATCATCTTAATTTTATAGGATATTATGTTTGAGGGTTATGGATTAACTGAGAATAGATGTCACCAAACAGAGTGCATCCATATCTCATGTTGAATGAAATCCTGAGATCTTCACAGAGCATCTTCTTTTTGTTCAAGTCGACACATTTGTTTAGTTTAAAATGCTCAAATGACTATTTCTTTACCTACAGTATGCCTATGTTCCTAATTAAAATCTTAAGAATTAAAATTTTGTTATTCCCAATTCAAAATAAGGGGTTGCATCTCTTTCCTCTCAAAATCCCAGTTTAAGCAATTCGCAAAGTCAGCACCAATAGTTCCCTTTTCTGACGATTTCTTCAGAAAGAAACTTATTCCTCAAAACTGATTTGACTTGACGTAGTTTTAACAATTTGATGATATCACTGTTTTGCTTCACGTTCTTCACCACATTTCAAAGTCAATGTTAATTTTCAAGGTTTTTTATTAATTCTTTACAAATAAAGCCAATAGGGACAAATTGTAACAAAAGTTACAATTTCACATTATTACAAATGCACCATTTCATTTACAGAAAAAAACAAACAATTATTTCATGTCACTTCAACTGTTCAACTATTTAACAACTTTCAGTGGATCAACAGCCACTTTCCACACCGAAGCCTCATCCTCATCCTCACGCTAACGAACCCACAATCTTTATGACATTTATTACTATTTCATATTTTTTGTATATCAGAATATTTTCTGCTTTCCATATTGTTTCTTTAATACAGATAATTACAGTCCACCAAAGAGGTTCACTTAAACCTGTTGTTTAGTGCAGAATCAAATAAATCCCCGGTATATTTCCGTGACCTCTAAGGAGGTCACATCATGGTTGTGACCTTTTTGCTTCGGCTGCACTAAATGCTAAATAAAGCAGCTAATAGCTGCAAGGAACTGGCCAGATGTTTTACTGCTGTTTACAGTTTATTGTTGTTATGAGTTTAACTCTTCTGCATCTGTGTGCCAACACTGAGCTCTGTAAAATTGCAACATTTGGTCTCCTTTTCCATTTGTCAGGCTACATAATAAAGCTTAAAGCGGAAATTATGTCGAACTGCTGAAAATAATGCAGCTGACTTTATGTGTTGGTGAGTTTACATAAAGCCGTTGCTAATAACCCTCTGGGGGACTGATCTAAATGTTGATCCCATTGTGGGTAATGGTGACCTGAAGGACCAACACAGAAAGCCATTTTGTAAGAAATTTAAAACGTTGTAAAACACCCGGCCATTACTGCAAATTTGAGGTGCAACAGCATTTCAATACAGTTTAAAAGTGCAAATAAAAAAATAAAAACCACAACAATACTAGCAAAATATAGAATGATTACCTGGTAATCAGGTTGTGCGTTAAGGCCCTGTGTTTGGTCTTAGATTACTCGTTACTGAAAAATGTGGTCCGAAAACACTACATATGAATCCAGGACAACTTGTGATTTTCCAGAACTCCCTTCTAATCTCAAATGTAAATATGACCATAAGTTTCTAAAATTATATAGCTAGTAAATAGAGCCAAGCCCATGTTGTAAAGATATGAAAAAGATATGGAAGAGATATACAAGTTATGCTTTAACTGGATAATTTAGTTGTTTAAAATCTCAGAAGAAAGGATTGAATAAAGACGCCGTTTACTGTGGAGGATGCTGTAAACTTCATCTGCTGAGTTGGATGGTTACAATCTGTTTCCGCCTGGCCGCGGTTTGTGATCTCAGTGCGACATCTAGTGGTTTGCTGTGGTACAGCAAGATGCCAGTTTTACTAAAGGTATTAAAAAACATAGTGTAAGTTATTTGGTTTTATTGTGTTTTACATAATGTCGAGTGACTATATATTAAATCAAATGGAGCTTCAAATAGAGCAAAATTTGACACATGTTAATAAAATAAATGTGACATCATTTTGAATATATTTTGCTTCCATTAAAAAAAAACCCAAAAGAATTTCAAGATTTTATCCAGTTTCTAAACAATAATTCTCAGACTTTTTGATAGTCTCTACTAGTATTAAAGTTCTTGCACCATGTTGTTTTAATAAAGCCTCTTTTTCACAACCACTTACAAAGAGTAGAAGATGAGTTTGATTATTCAAAATTAGATTTTTATTTAAAAAAAAAAAAAGGCTGTAAACTACAACCTATTTAATTCATCGTGCCATTTGCACAACAAAACACAAACAGAAATGTTGCCATAGAAGGAAAACCATTTGCATGTTTGGGAGTGTCAATGTAACACACAGTAAATGAAACTGAAACTAAAAGCTGTGATGTGAGATCAGCAGTCAAGAGTATAGTTCTTGAAACGGTGACACATTTATTTATTTATTAAAAGTACTAGAACTGATTGATACAATTGATAAATATCATTAAATAATTTCTCTGGAATCAGGGGAGATTAAATCCAGGAGAGCAGAGATTCTGGGGGAGGAACTGAAGAACCAGCAACAACAGTCGGTGAGTCGTGTTTGGAAACAAAGCTAACTCTCGTCATCAGGACTCATAACAAAGTTAGCTGCCAGTTAGCAGCAGGCTAACATCCATGCTAACTCAGCCGTTGGTTCCACCGTTAGCATGTCTGACAGGTTAGCATTAGCGGACTATTCCTGACAGAAAGCGGCGACACGGTTTATCTGAGACTTTTATGTTTAAAAATTAATAGTTGTGGGAGAATAAAGGAGAGGAGATGATAAAATGAGTGTTTATTTAATCCAAAATGAGGCTGTTCTTCTTCTCTGACTTATTTTTCGTTGTCTGCTCCGTCCATCCCGCAAAAAAAAAAAAAAAAAGGAAACGTCACATTTTTAATCTGCTTGAAATGTTTTCTTCCAGATGTTTCCACTACAGAAA